GTGCAGGCGACAGCTCATCAATGATTCTCATCATTGATGTTTCTCTCTCTTCCTATTTGAAATCAATAAAAATATTTTTTAAAAAGTGTGCCCTGGCGGGGTAGCTCATTTGGTCAGCGTGGTCCCCATAGGAAGGCTGCCTCTTCCATCCCGGGTCAGGTCACCTACAAGAATCAATTATTGAATGCGTCCAAGAGTGGAACAACCGATTGTTTCTTTCCTGTGCTTCCTCTCACCTCCCCTTCTGTCTCTCTAAAGTGCAGAGCAGGTGATTCCATTGAAGTCCTATCACTGGAAAATAAAATTCCCAAAGTAGCCCAGTCAGCAGCCAGCGTTGGTTCGTCTCCCTCAGAGTGGTCCCCCCTCTTCATGATAGAAATCACTCCCCTTCCTTCCCGCTGCAGCGGCACCAGGGAGCCCTGGTCCGACCCCGCAGCCCTCACCGACAGGCTGGGTCTCGGTGACGTCCACCCACCTGGGAACTCGGGTCCCTTCCGTTGGAGACGGAAAGCCTCAGGCAGGTCTGCGCGGACTGAGATAACGTGCACCCCGGAGCCTGCGGGGCCGGCCTGAGCCAGGAGCCCAGGGAACCAGGCGGAGCTTCCGACGCGCGTGGACCAAGCGGAGGGGGAGGAAGTGAGGGGGCGGAGCTTCTTCACCTGCGCGGGGCGGGGCGGGGCCGAAGCTTCTTTACTTGCCCGGGGCGGGGCGGGGCCGAGCGGGGGGCGGAGCTTCTTCACCCGCGGGGGGCGGGGCGGGCCGAGCGGGGGCGGAGCTTCTTCACCCGCGCGAGGCGGGGCGGGGCAAAGCGGAGTGGGGGACGTAAGGGGGCGGGGCGCTCAGCTTTCCGGGGCCCCTCTACTGCGCATGGCACGTAGCGTCCGTCCCTCCCAGCAACCGGCCAGGCGGTGGCGAGGCCATAAACTCAGGAGGCGGAGCTGAGGCGCGATCGGACCGCTCGCCAACTCCAGGACCAGGTACCGGACTGGCGGGCCGCCTGGTGCGGTCCAGGGATCATCCGTCCATCCTCGCCCTGACTCCGATCCCACCTCCTCAGGGTGGGCCTCGGTCCGATCAGCCCTCCCGGGCCCCTCTCGCCGAGCCCAACTCCATTCCCTCCGTGAGCGGTTGCATCCCGGGAGCAGAATAGGCTTGGGCCTTGGCGGGGCGACACCGGAGCGGAGTTACCGGGCGGGAGAGGCGAGCGCCTGCTTTCCCGCCCCTGCTTGCCCCGACGTCCAGGTGGCGAACTTGGGGCCCAGGTTCAATGTGTCCTCCTGGAGCCCAGAGACAGACGGCAGAGCCTAGTGCTTACCTCTCCCCCGCCCCGTCCCGCATCCCCATCGCTCCCCAAGCTGGGGGAGACTGTGTGAGCACAGAGGTCCAGGTGAGCCCCTGACTGAGCCCAAACAAAGAGCTCCCGATGATCTGGTTGTCCTAGCAGGTCTCTGTCCGCGGGAGATTGGGGTGGAGATGGCGGGGTGGGTGGGTGGGGTATGGGAAGTGAGTGCGAGGGAAGAGGCGTGGTTAACTGAAATAGTTCAAGTTTTCAGGAGATGGGCGACTAACTTCTCGGCCCAGCTTTCCGCCAAGACATCCTAGCCCATCCTCACTTTATCCCCCCAAAGAGGAAAAGCTGTTCGAATGTTTTATAGAAACAGCTGTTGAACTAGAACCATCGTCCAGTAGGTATGGGTGGCGTCAGGCAGGGCTTCACGGATGGGTTGATGTGTTCTAGAGACACCCAAGGTTGTGTCGTCTTCTCCCCGAGAGTTGAAGAGACCGAATCTTACCTGATTTCCTGTCTCAGGCCAGGAGCTTTTTCTGCCATGACTGGGCTGAGCTAGTTAAATCGGCTCCCCCACCCTTGGACCAGGTTTCTTAAGTGGTTTTGTGGCTCAAATGCTGTATGTTTAGTAGTAACTGCGGACATGGAGGAAGTTTAGAAAACCAGTGCCAAAAATAGGGAAGAGGGCGGAATGCATAAGTGAATCCTCCTTGCTATATACCATTTGTCACCTGGGCATCAGCACTGTCAAATCAGCTGCTGCCTTCTCAATCATTATACCTTTGCATTATACACCGTCTTGACAGGTCTTCCCGGCATCTCTTGACAGGTTGGACGCAGGCATTGGAGCAGATCTAATCAGCCCTCTACCACTTGCCTGTGTGACTCTGGGTGTTGAACCTCTCTGAGCCTAAATTTCCAGATCTATAAAACAGGGAAGATAATACTTACTGTGAGCTGATCTCTGCGGAGCTTTTAGCACAGATCCTGGCACACAGTAAGTTCACCATAAATGTCTGCTGCTTTCATTCTTACTGTTATTGAAGTTAGCAGATAGGGAAGTGCCCATATTATGTGTTGGGCACAGTAGCCCCTGGAAATGCAACAGTAAACAAGACTATTCCCTACCCTCAAGGAAATTAAGAGTGTGATAGGTGTAAGGATTGAATACAGAGGCCAGCCTGGCCTAAGTGGCCCAGTGGGTGAGCATCGACCATGCACCAAAAGGTCTCTGGTTAGCAGAGACCGGTTTGGCTCAGTGGATAGAGCGTCTGCCTGTGGACTGAAAGGTCCCAGGTTCGATTCCCGTCAAGGGCATGTACATTGGTTGCGGGCACATCCCCGGTAGGAGGTGTGCAAGAGGCGGCTGATGGATGATTCTCTCTCATCGATGTTTCTAACTCTCTTCCTCTCTCTTCCTCTCTGTAAAAAATCAATAAAATATATTAAAAAAAAAAAAAGAGTGGCAACAGATGCTATTAAAAAAAAAAGGTCTCTGGTTAAAATCTCAATCAGGGCACATGCCTAGGTTTCTGGCTTGATCCCCTTTATGGGGCATGCAGGAGGCAGCTGATTGATGTTTCCATTTCTCCCTCTACTTTCCTGTCTAAAAATCCTATATAATCCTATATAATAAAAGGCTAATATGCATATTGGCCCAATGGCAAATCAACTGGTGGCTTTGATGCACACTGACCACCAGAGGGCAGATGCTGAATGCAGGAGCTGCCTTCTGGTGGTCAGTGGGTTCACACAGGGAGCACCAATCAGCCAGAATCTGGGCTCATGGCTGGCAAGTGCAGTGGCAGTGTCAGGAGCCTCTCCTGCTTGCACAGCAGTGCTAAGGATGTCCAACTGCCAGTTGGGGAGTGGGCCTAAGTCATCAGTAGGACATCCCCCAAGGGCTCCCTGACGGAGAGGGCGCTGGCTGGGCTAAGGGCCACCCCCCTCCAGTGCACAAATTTCGTGCACCCGGCCTCAAGTAAAAACATTAAAAATACAGAAGCCAAACATTTACCATAGGTAGGAAGGGAGTTAGGGAGGACTTCCTATAGCACCAGACAACTGAGAGGGACAGGTCTGGGGGGAGGAAGGTAATTCTGAAGGGAAAGCAGGATGTTTCTTCTTTCTTTAAAAAAAATTTTTTTTATTGATTTCAGAGAGGAAGGAAGAAGGAGAGAGAGAAACATCAATGATGAGAATAATCGATTGGCTGCCTCCTGCACGTCCCACATCAGGGATCAAACTCACAACTTGGGCATATGCCCTGATCGGAATCGAACTGTGAGCTTCTGGTTCATAGGTCTATGCTCAATCACTGAGCCACACCAGCCAGGCAGAAAGCAGGATCTTAAAAGTTTTTCCTTTGGGCTCCATTTCCTCTCTACCTTTCAAGTGCCATGTCCTCACTATGGACCTTTCCCAAGGCTCTCCCCAGCCTTCTGCTTTTCTCTCACCATTTTCTCCGTTAGTGAATTCCTGTCACTTGTATAGCTTTACCCTTTAACTCCGAACTCCATGTAGCCATTTCTAATCTCTCTTTTGAGCATCAGTTTTAACTTTTCTAACTGAATATATATATTTCCTCTTGGAATATATAACTTTTCTCAATTGAAATATGATTTAAAAAGTTGAACTCATCTTTCCACCAAAACCACTTCCACCTCTGAGCTTTCCTGTTTTGTTATTGACACACTACTCTTTTCCCAGTTACTGGAGCTCACACACAAAAATCAGTCATCAGAGTTGTCCACAGATAGGATGGACTCCCGGATAAGGTGGTGAATCTCTGGCCTGGGGTATTATCAAGCAGAGGCTACATAATCTTATATACAGGAGTTGGTAAAAGCTATTCCTCCACAGGGTGCTTCAGTAATCTTTGTCTTTGCTGAACTCCATAGGGAGTTGCCCATTTCTCCTTGTGCATCCCAGATCTCCTGATTTAAAATTTTTAAAGGCATCCACAGATTTTGTTTGCTTTTTGTTAATCCTCATCTAAGATATTTTTTCCATTGACTTTAGATAGAGTTGAAGGGAGGGAGAGAGAGAGAGAAACACCTGTCTGCCCTAGCTGGGTTGCTCAGTTGGTTGGAGCGTCACTTCATACACCAAAAGGTGGCAGGTCAATTTCCGGTTGGTTGGGCTTCATCCCATTCACCGAAAGTAAGGTTACTGATTAGATTCCTGATCAAGGTGCATGCCTGGGTTGCACTGGCTTGATCCCCTGTAGGGGGCATGCAGGAGGCAACCAATATTTTGTTCTCACATCGATGTCTCTCTCTCTCTCTTGTCCTCTCCCTTCCTCTCTCTCTGTAAAAAAATTAATAAAAATATTTAAAAAAATTTTTAAATGATGATGTTAAACAGACACATGAATAGAAGATAATTACTTCTGGGAAGGATTCAGTGGGGATTGAGCCAAGAGAAGTTTAAACATTAAAGAAAAAAACCATATAATAAATTTCTTTCTTATAGAGGTTGCAATATTTCAGATTGTACATCCAGGTTGATTGTCACTGAAAGTGTCTCTAAGCAAATCTTTGGAAATCTAGAAATTTATAGGTTTAGTACACTGCTTTGAATGGTAGATTTGCAGTAAGTTTTTATTCATCAAACGATATTTCTATAAAAGATTTGACTAACTCAACCTGTTTTTATTTTCCTTTTAGGTTTAAATTTTTGAAATTGAAATAGGCCTACACATTAGGAACTCATGTCTTTTCTTGTAAGTAAACCAGAGCGAATTAGGGTGAGTGTTTCTATTCTTCTGTCTTTACTGTTTTTATTTTCTGGAGAGCAAAGTGTTTTGGCAGTACGTAGGTGGTTTGTTATGTGACGTTCAGAATCATGTAGAAGTGAGGGGGTGGGAAGTAAAGCAGGTACTGCAGCCTCCACCCCGGAGAAAAGAGCTTGCAGGCAGAGGCTGACCAAAGACACAGAATACACCCACCAGCTTGTCTGATAGAGAAGAAACAAAGTGGTATATTTTGTGAATATCCGTCATTCAATATTAAATGAGTTGAAAGTGTAGGTAGGTAACCTCTAACGATCTGCCCATTTCCTATGTTTTTTCAGCGAGTTTGTGTGTTTGAAAAATCAGTATCAAATTGTAATCTTCGGAACACTTTTTTCTAAATACAATTATAGGTTTTAATTGAAATCTTTCTTAACATGAAACATTTTATACCTGAAAACTTCACCAGCTAAAATGACCTTGAGAATGAATACTGAATTTAGTCTCTTTACAAGCTACCATGAGTTCATAAAAGAGTATATTTTATTTGTTATCAAGTATTTAATTTCTGAAAGCAATAGTAATTATTTTAAAATCTTGCAACAATGTATAAATGCTATGATACATTATGAGTATATCACTTTCTTTAAATATTAAAGTGATAGTTTATTTTTACTAACTATCTTGTGGCACAGTGCATGTGATTTTTTTATATCAAGTGTTTTTAATTGATAGTGTTGTGTTTTTTTAATTAGGAAAAAACCTAATTTGGAGAAGGAGAATGATGTTATAATTCCTATTATGCAGCTTATTTCTGAATGTTGCTTAATCTTTTTTCTTACGTTTATATATATAAGTACAATTTACATTGTAAAGAGTAAGCTTCACTGTCAGCTGAGAGGAAAAACAGATTCTCTCCAGTGGAAAGAATGTATCCAGGCCAAACTTTAACACCAGTCCTTATGTGAAATACAACCTTGATTCCATTGCTTTTAAATGTGAGCTTCTTTTCTATTTCAACCCAGTTTGATACAGGTGAAACCAGACCCCTGATGAGTATGTGGAAATCCAATACTTGGTGGAAATAGGCCAGTAAAGTGAACCATAGATTGGTCATGCTAGTCCTGTCCACTTGTAAAGGGGTAGCATTTGGTAGCAAATGTAAGCAGTGATGACTTTAGAGATCCTAATGGATGAAGGATACGCAGCTTGCAATTTTTTTCTACAAATAATAAATGCTTGTGGAAAACTTCTGTTTCATCCTTCTATTCTATATTGTGAATTCTAGTAGTAATTTTCAAATTGGCACTCATGGTCCTGAGCATCTGTAATAGGGAGCCATGGAATGAGTAAGATGGATCCAAAAGGTTGTTTTCATAGCCATGGAATGAGTAAGATGGATCCAAAAGGTTGTTTTCATTTTTAGAGCCGGTACTGGGTTTTCCTCAATCTGACAGCTTTAAGAATGATTCATCAAATTATGCACAGAGGAACAGAGAAAGGAATTCATTTATTGTTATCTGCTGTTAAAGCCAAGATTCTTTTCAAAACTTTTCCATAGAAATGTACCTTAACTGTAATGCATGATTGTGTTTTTGTAGTTGTGTTTTGTTTGTCTCTCTAACAGCTGATAGCTAATGTTCTGTGGTTTGGAAGAAATACTAATTCTCTTTGGGGTTTTCCTCTTTAGCGGTGGGTGTCGGAAAAGTTCATTGTTGAGGGCTTAAGAGATTTGGAACTATTTGGAGGTAAGTACAGTATGGCATTAGGCCATCACTTTAGGATAAATCTCACTGCTCTTTTGTTGACTAAATCAATTCATAGAATTTAACAATTCTAAGGGAAAGTGTACACTATAATTGCTATATTTATTGGCTCCTTTTGAATCCATGGTTTCCCAAAAACTTGAGGACTAATCTGGTAGTTATCATTAGCCTGTCTTGATTATTAGAAAACCAGTATATACTCAAAGGCACATGTATTTCTTCTAAGTTTTTGTCCAATTGAAATATATATTCTTAAAGGAAAATGTAAGTGTTTAAAAATTGCTAGCTTTGAAGATTTTAAAAGTAAAATTATAGTTAGGATGAAGAAAGCAATGGTATGAAAGTTCTGTTTTTACTGAGCAGTCTAGTTGACTCATATTTCCATTGTAGAAATTATGAGACTTAAGAGAACTAAGGAAAAAATCGGTCAGGACAAAAATATTAACCTCTTATTGGAAAACCTAAATGCTGATTTCAGAAGTAAGTTAGGTTTGCAATTTGGAGATTTAATAGGCAAAGCATTTTCCTTTGGCTTTTTTCAAATTGAGCCATTTGGGGAACTGTGACCTTAATTTACAGTAAATAAAATACTTTTCTATAAACATAATAGTAGTAGGGCCACATTCTTTGTGTCTGAACACCAAGATACTCTCTTTGGCATCTGTAGCTACTAAAGAAACAGGTTATCAGATTTAATGCATTGGGTGACTGATCAAAAATACCTCCAGTTAATGTTTTACCCAGAGTCCTTACCTTCGGATATCTGCTTTAGAATACACTTGTTATTTCTATAACTTTTATCAGAACCCAGCTGCTAACAGGAACAATTTAGGTACTGTGAAAATTTTTAAGAATGTATAATTTGGCTGGGACCGGTTTGGCTCAGTGGATAGAGCGTCAGCCTGCGGACTGAAAGGTCCCGGGTTCGATTCCGGGCAAGGGCCTGTACCTTGGTTGCAGGCACATCCCCAGTGAGGGGTGTGCAGGAAGCAGCTGATCGATGATTCTCTCTCATCGATGTTTCTAACTCCCTCTCCCTCTCTCTTCCTCTCTGTGAAAAATCAATAAAATATATTTTAAAAACAAAAAAAATATACCTCCAGTAGGCCTAAGTAATTGAAAATTCAAACTTGTTCATTACTAGGGGGATACCTATGAATTTATTTTCCCTAATGCCACTCAAAAAACTTCTGGAGCAGTATTTTTCATCAACTTTTTCAAAGGATTGTGTTTTAGATAAGAGTTCAGGAAAATGAGTTTTGTATTCCTTATAAAGAACAATAAAGGAAATGCTAATAGAACAGAAATACTACATTCTGGTCCTATTCTCAATTTCTTCCCATCATTTAATGGGGATACAATGGCTTAAAAGTAAACACTGGCATTGATGGAAATGGAATTGGGAATCCAGTGTATAATCAATTAGTTTAAAATATTCCAGTGTGTGTGAATTGAATTTATGGATTTTGGTTTCAGTGTAGGATTGCTGGCTATTTTTTGTCAGTTCCCTGGTCTCTGATCTGAGACTGGTGAAGAGATTCTTCTGTACATTGTGTACAGCTTGATGAAGTGTGTTACCAAGTTTTGTACAACTTGGAATTTGCCCTCTACTCTGGAAAACTGGGTTTGATTTCCTTTAATCTAGTCACCTTTGGCAGACCATCTTAAGCAACTGCTCCTGCCATTTGTATACCAGAAAACTGATGTCCAAGGGGGAAAAAGAAAAGGAAAAAAAAAAAAAAAAAAAAAAAAAAAAAATATATATATATATATATATATATATATATATAATTTTGATAAATTGAAGCTAATTGGCTCTGCAACCACTCTCCTCGAGCACAGTTGGATGTTATAATTTCTAATTTAAGATATTTGGAAATGCATTCCAATACTTTAGAGTTAAAAATCTTGCTTTGGCCAGCACCGGTTTGGCTCAATGGATAGAGCGTCGGCTTGGGGACTGAAGGGTCCCGGGTTCAATTCCAGTCAAGGGCATGTACCTTGGTTGCGGGCATATCCCCAGTAGGGGGTGTGCAAGAGGCAGCTGGTCGATGATTCTCTCTCATCGACGTTTCTAACTCTCTATCTCTCTCCCTTTCTCTCTGTGAAAAATCAATAAAATATATATTTTTTTAAAAATCTTGCTTTGAATATTTTTATCACTTTTACAGCATGGACAAAATCAAAAGCACAGATACAAAATTTGCCCACTTTAAGAGCAGAAAGTTGTTTCAGTTGTTTTTTGCTTTCTTCATTTTCACCAAAAGCATTAGAGGGCTCCAAAGCCTTTGCTCTATTTGCATTCAGAATAGAATGTCTGACTAGAGAATCTAATTGGGTAATGATTAGATTAGATTTAATTAAACATACATGTTTTTGCTGAATTAAAACTTTTAAAAAATTATATATTTAATTGATTTTTTTATTTTTTATTTTTTTTTTACAGAGAAGAAGGGAGAGGGATAGAGAGCTAGAAACATCGATGAGAGAGAAACATTGATCAGCTGCCTCCTGCATCCCCCCCCTCCCCCCCCCTCGGGGATGTGCCCACAACCAAGGTACATGCTCTTGACCAGAATTGAACCTGGGACCTTTCAATCCGCAGGCTGACACTCTATCCACTGAGCCAAACCAGTTAGGGCTAAAACTTTTAGAAAATCTGTTTTCTAGTCCTGCATTCCCTGGGAAATAGCCAGCCAACACTCTAACTTTATAATGAATTATTTGTTACAGTTTTAGTCTCTGAAACTACGTTATTGAATATAACATTGTATGCTGATGATAAGTCAATGTATGACCAGATTTATAGCAATTGAGCTATACTCAGTAAAATATACCCATAGAATAGTTCCCTGACCCCATCTTATCTGTAGCATTTTACTGTGTGTGTGTGTGTGTGTGTGTGTGTGTGTGTGTGTGTGTGTTTATATGTAGCACTGCAGGCACTTTTCTCTGTAATGACTCTTAAGTGTTTTTTATTAATAAATGTAGTCCTAAGTGCAGTAGTTGCTGTTCTGAATGTGGTATGTCTTCTGCTAAAAAACAAAATGCCAACAACCATTTCTCTACTCCAGAGCAGCCTCCGGGTGACACTCGGAGAAAAGTAAGTGACTTTCCAGGCTCTTCCACTGTGGCTGCTGCATGGAGATGACTTCCTGTGGAAATTCACGTGTTTTATTGGCTTATCATTTTATGTTTCTGCTTATCTGTCATTGAGCTTTATGTTAAGTGTAATTCTTTCACTTGTAGAGATTCAGGTTTCACCCTGGAAAGATTTTGATGTAGACTTTGAAAATGGAAAAGGAAAAAAATCTCAGGCACTTTTTGCTTCTCTCCTGGGGATTAAGGTCTCCTCCCCTTCCCAGCCCTCCAGAAAAGGAGAAAGTTTCAACGATCTGAAAGGTGGTTACCTTTTAGTGGCTAGTGGTATTACATTTTCCATCCTTAGTTTATTAATAATAGATGTTAGTCCACAGAGATGACATTGCTCCCGGTCTAGATTGTAAGACAAGCCCTCAAATCTCCTACCTGAAAAACAAAACCCAGAATTAAAAACTATAAAACAGAAAATGCATTTTTTATTATTAGCTAAAGCTTTAAGACTTGCCCTGCTTCCAACTCTTCTAGCTTATTTTATCTAAGGAAATAACACCCAATGCACATGGAGTACTAAGTTGTTTTTAACAATGTGAATCAGAGAGAGAGTAAGAAGCCTTTTCTAAATAGACTTCCTACTCTTTCTTTAATTTATTTATTTTTATTGATTCTAGAGAGGAAGGGAGAGGAAGACGGAGAGAGAAACATCGATCTGCTGCCTCTCACAGGAGTGTTGACCAAGGGCCAAACCTGCAATCCAGGCATGTACCATGACCAGGAATCAAACCTGCAATCTTTAGGTGCATGGAACAACATTCCAACCTACTGAGCCACCAGTCAGGGAGACTTCCTACTCTTTCCAGATGACAGACATGTGCACCTTTGCAAGCAGCCCTGTCAAGTGAAGGATGATGACGTTGACTAGGAATTTTGAGTAAAGCTTTGGCTGTGCTTACTTAGCCTGCTAGCTAGAGGTAAGCACCTCTCTCTCATATCCAAATATTTTCCAGTCAGGAGACCAAACATGTTTTCTATAGCTCAATTAGGTATTTTTCCAGAATGCAGTGCCAATTATATATAATACTTATATTTCCACAGCTGCTGATGTTACACCAAAAAGCTATCCCGTGTGAAACCTGTGATTGAATGTGTTCATTTGCTAGCAGTGTTGTCTTTGTGTGCTGTGTTGTATTTTGTTCTGAACTCTTTAAACAAAGTTATGTCATGGTCATTTCTGGATATCAGTAGCTTATGTATTTTTAAATGTTTCAAAATGAAAAAAATTGCTTTTCATGATGGGGGAACTAAGAGTAGGCTTTGCTAGAACCAGTTTCTTTCTCTAGGCAACTTGATGTTATGCATTAAACGAATAAACCCATGCTGTGCTGTATTTAAAGGAAATGGACTAAGTATTTCATCCTTCTCACCTGATTTTTGACCTTTTTTAAATCTGAAACAACATAATGAGGCAATATCAGACCAGACCTCTTCCTTTCAAAATACCGCCTTTGTTTTCCTAAGAAAAGTCTGCTTTCTCTCTGCGCTCAAACCTAGAGGACCTCCACAAAGGAGAAAGCCTCAGTGCCGTGTCAGTGGGCTGGGGACAGAGCAGCCGAGGAACCACAGCAACCACTAGGCTAGTTCATTTCATGCAAATGCAGATTGCCCAAGATCTCACACTCCCAGTATCTACAGAATTTTATTTTCTAAAACGAACACTTTGAGGAGTTTTCTATAGTCAACAAAGATAGTACAAATATTTGTCAAGTTATTAACTATTCACATCAGTAATGTAATGACTCATTCCTTACCTAGACTCAACAAGTGTGTATCTTTAGAATGCAGCCTAGTGTAGCAGTTGTTTTATATGCACTCCTAGCAAGGAAGAGGGACTTGGGTAATAAAATAGGATCTATCGTTTTCCAAAGGGAATCATTTAAAATGTATGAAATAAATATTTTAATCTCAGGACTCCAGCTGTACTTTGTAGTCTCTTTCAAATTAGAAAAACATTAAGGAGTTTGCCTGGAGATCAGAGAACTCCAAAGTAGCTCTAGATTTGTTCTCATTGGGACCATATTGTTACCTGCTAACATATTCAGTACAGTAGGTCCTCACTTAACATTGTCAATAGCTTCTGCAACTTTAAGAGAAACAGCGCATTACAATAGGCTAATTGATGAACACAGAGTTAGATTCCTACAGCATCTCATCAATGTTATAATGAAACAACACTGAAACAATGTTCTTTGAGGACCTGCTGTACTTTCTCACGTGCAGATACAGATTCTGATCTATAACGTGCCCCTAGTGGACGTGTTATATGAGGGCTGGCATTTCCGGCAAAGGTCCTTATATTGAACCCCGTCTCCAGTGGAACTGGCTGGCACCTTTACCCTGCTCTCCTTTTCAGCCGGTGGGAATGATGAGATCATGGGCAGAAAACATCCTCAGTTCAAACTTTGTTTAAATGATTTTTTTTAAGTGTGTCCCAGCATTGTTGATTTGACTAGCATATGAAATAGGAGCTGGCCTGAAGCTCTCCATAGACAATGCCTGCACTGTTGTAGGTGTCAGTGAGCAAGCCCGACCAGGTCCATGCTGGTGAAGCCTGCATCCTAGTAGAGAGACGGGCGATAGGTAAATAAACTGCAGCGATTCCTATTATGGAGAAAGGAAAGCAAGATAATGAAGTGACTAGGAGCCTGTTTTGCTTTAGCTGGACAGAGTCTTCAATGAATAAATGACATTTAAGCCAAGACCTCAGTAATGAGCAACCAGCCATGAGATAGGCAGCTGGTGCAAGTTTTCTAAGACTGAGCAACAGGTGTAAGGAGTCAGGGAGGGTGCTTTGGAGTGAGGTCGTAGAAGCAGGGAGGGTCCAACACGTGGGCACTCAAAGGCCAGAGGAGGGAGCTATGTCTGAAAGCAATGCCCTGGATTCATGTTAACTGGAGGTGCCGATTTTATTGAAGAGTAGATTGATACTTGAGAGCACAGGACTTGCGGAGCAAGACTACGAGCAGGCAGTTAGAGGTATAAAGGTAAAAAGATGGGATTCTTCAGGAAAAACTTAGCATGCAGCTCGTAAATGTTAAATAAATGGGGAGTTGTCATTTCAGAGCTCTTGGTTTAAGCTTTATGCTCAAATCGCTACTCCATTTTTCTCTCTCTTGCCTGTGTGAGGCACCCAGTATGCAGTAAAGTAACCCTATCTGTAGATTATTCTGAAGACAGAGTAGTTTCAAGAAGCTACAGTGGTTATTAAATGATCCTAGAATTTGATTTCAGAACATTTGAAAACACAAGCGTAAAAAACAAAATCAAACCAACCTTAACTGTTGATCAAGCTCTGCTTAGAATTCTCTGTTTTATCTGTTCCATCTTATTTGTTGAGGAGGAGAATGGCCAAAAAGCAGACACCAAGGAGGAAGAAGAACAGAATTCACATATATTGAAAACCAAGTAGTGCTAGGCTCTTTACATCTTGTATCTCATTTCATTGTCACAACAACACTATGAAGTGGGAATTACTCCACTGATGAGACAGCGGAGATGCCATGAGAGCAGAGTGACTTACCCAGGGTCACAGAACATGTGATAGACCTGAGTTCAAGTTCTGCCTCTGGCTAGCCCCTAAGCCTGTGGTCTTTATGTTACACCATATGTTTTACTTAAAGTAGCCTTTCCAAATTATCTTTCCCAACATTTAAGAGATGTTGGGCACAAAAGGGTTCTGTAGACAAGTACCTTTGGGGAGTGTTAGGCTGAACAAAGTTGAACAAGTTTCCTTACTACAGGACTTCTCAGAGCCTTGAATAAGTAGGTATGCCTGGTGATTCTCCATGAGAGAATGTGCTGCATTTGCTAACTTACTTGGACGTATAAACTTCGGGGAAATCCTACATTAAAACAACTCAGTAGAAAAATGGACAAGAGACAGAAAGAAGCACTTTCACCTTAGAGAAACCCACATGGCCAATACATACAAGAAAAGATGTTCACTTCATTAGCAATCAGGGAAATATAAATCAAACCCACAATGAGACTGGCAAAAATTAAGTCTGAATACAAGTGTTGGGGAGGAAAAGATGGATCAACAAGAACATGCATGCATTGCTGGTGGGAGTGTATATGTATAACCGTTTTTGGAAAACAATTTGGCCTTATCTCACAGAGTCGATTGTTCATATACTCTGACCCAGCAATTCCACTCCTAGGTATAAGCTTTAGAGGAACTCTTGCATATATGAACAGGAAACACATGCAAATGTTTCTAGTAGCACAGTTCAGAGCAGCAGAACTGAAAAACTACCCAAAAAGCCCATCAACATTGAATGGATAAATCGAGCTATGTCCCCAAGGTGAACATTACATAGTATGGGTGTACCACAGGTTAAATACAACAACATGGATGAATCTTAGGAATGCAGAAATGGATTAAATTAGAATGATAATCTGCTGATCAAGCTCAATTTTGCTTGGCTAGGTTCCTCTACTGTCAGCATAAGTGGTGCAGGAGGCAGAACCCCACTTACTTACTTTTTTATTGGCAGCATCAACTGTTTTGAAACCAGGTGTACTAGAAACATCAGGGATCCCCAAGAAGGAGATTCTGCCATATTAGAACATTCTCAGCTCACATTCTTCTGGTTAGCACTGAGCCAAGGGCCTTTCATAGTTCACCAAGACCTTTTCCTGACTAGAGGTCCGCATATGAAATCTGAGCTGGCCTGAGGCTCTCCATTTCAGTTTAGACACACATCCAAAGAAAGAGGATCCAAAAGAAAGGGAATTAATCAGAAAAATACACAGTCCTTCGGTCATGCAAATACATTTAGGTCTGGAAGAAGGAATCTGAGCCTATTAAACTGAGGGAAGAGCTGTTAGTGTGCCATGTGTTTTGCTGGGCGCTTTCCTTCAGTACCTCAAGGGCCAGTGGTGTGATGCCCAAATCCTAATGGCTGGGATCCAGTGTCATTTACAGCAGGAATGGGCAGGAATGAGGAGCAGGTCACTTTTGCTGCCTGAGGTGATAACGGAGACCTGACAGCTCTGTCTCTTGCCCCAGCAGCCCAGTGTCTGTTTCTTGCTTCCCTTGGAAATGTCTGAGGGACTGATTGGTCTGAGGTCTTGGTTTGCTAGAGAAAAGCTCCTTATGGCTACAGTTTCCCTGTAGCAAGGTTTTTGGGATCTTATAGTCAGGATCTTAAACATCGGACCCTAATGCAGCAGGAAACCCAAGAGACCCTCCCATCTCTCCATCCCCTTTCTCTTCTGTAAATGTGCCTTTCTCCAGACATCCTTTCCCCAAGTAGGAATTTCATCATGTTCACCATGCTATGTACCTGAAACTAATATAATATTGGATGTCAACGGTAACTGAAAAACACTTAAAAATTTTTTAAAAAGAAATTTATAGTTCTTAGCAAATGAGCCAGTTGTTGGAAGGACAAGCAAATCTTCAGCTGGCTGTTACTGGCCCTTGTCCCCCACCTACATTTGTGGATAGTGGGTACATCAAACACCTGATGTTTTACTTTACATTCCTCATCAGAGTGCTGGCACCAGAGCCAGAATTTCTGCTTGTTTAGATGCCAGTCTCCTCATAGGTCTGAATTACTGCCTCTCCACTTCCCCTCTCCCCAATTTTCTCTTATTAACCAATTTTTCTTTCTCTTTAGACCAATGAGGCAAGCTCAGAGTCGATAGCATCCTTCTCCAAGCAGGAGATCATGAGTAGCTTTCTGCCGGAGGGAGGGTGCTATGAGCTACTCACCATTATAGGTAATGTCCCCGGACTGCCAAGACCTTGGAGCTCCAGGGGGCGGGCGCCATGAATGTGTGCCTGAGGCTGTCGGCTTCTTAGAGGGCTGTGGTGACAGAACTGGCTTTGTTGGGTCTTCTTGGGTTTTGTTTCTCCAAGTATGGGAAAGGAGATCATGTTCCCAGGAAAGGAGTTCTTATACTTTTTTCTTTTTGGCTGAACGCTTCTGGTGTCCTGGGCCAGAGTCAGTCAGAATGGTTGGCTGAGAAGGAACTACTAGGAAAAGAAGCAAGAACTGTCAGCCATGAAAGTAACAGTAGTGCAAGTTTTAGCTTGCATTTTCTTTTGAAATCAAGTTTGTTGAAGGAAGAAGAAACTCTTTGCTGTTGTTGACCTTGCTTATGGCATCCTCTGTTCTTTCAGGCAAAGGGTTTGAGGACCTGATGACAGTGAACCTAGCAAGGTACAAACCAACGGGAGAGTATGTGACGGTACGAAGGATTAACCTAGAAGCTTGTTCCAATGAGATGGTGACGTTCTTACAGGTAAAAAAAAAATGTGGATGAGACACTTGGAGGTGGGCTCTTTGCTCCAGTAGTAATTACAAGGCATCTCTTACCTCCATCTTCTGAAAGCAGCTGGCAGGAAATGAAGGTAGACCAAGTCGATCAGCTACGGAAGCTCTCAGTGAAGAACCTTGGGCATTTGGCACTAAGGATTCCGTAATGCTGCCCAGCCCAATCTATATTCCCGTCTCTGCAAGGACTCCTTCTTGCCTCATTTATTTATTAATCAGAGAAGCTAGGCCACTCTCCTGCTTTTAGCACCGTATTTGCCTAACATTCCTTTCTACTGGAGAATCAAGTAGCTGCCCTCTCATTTTAACTGGAGGGACCAGAGGTCTAATAACTGACCGGGGACTGAATTCTCCTTGGCTAATGAAGGCTTGCCCTGAGAACTCCTTCGATTCGGGCCTGGGTCAGTGTATTTTCAGTACAGGTAGTTGCACCCTTTCCCTTTTTGTATACAATGCTCTTCTTTTGTATACAATGCTCGTCTAATGGTGCTGTAATCCTGGTCCACAGGCTCGGAGCAGTTTAGAGGATCTGAGGATGTGACAGAAAGTCAGTCCTGACTGAGTTATTTGGGGAAAAATATACATATCTGACTTTGTTCTAGAGCATAATGGACTTCCAGATTCTTATCCTATAGAGCAGTGGACAGGCAGGAGGTACTGTCTGTTTGGCCTTAGCTCACATTCCACAGGCCAGGACCTTAGAGTTTCTATAGTCCTCTTGTCCATTTTTTTTTTTTTTAAACATCTTGTCAAAATTTATTTTAAAATTTTGTAGGTCTGACACTTCCTATAGCTGCTTCTAAGGAAGGGATCTCTCAATCTGAGGTTAGCTGGAGAAATAGCTTCCAATGTTTAGTAGTTGTTGTTTGTTCTTTAATGCTTTCTTTCCTTGTCTACAACCTTTTCCTTAACGACAGGAAAACATTTCTTGTTTTTCTATCTTAAAGAGGAGTTCTGTGCCCTGGCCCTTGAAGTTGAGCTAAGTTTAGGATTTCAGAAATTTTCAATCAACAGTTTGTTTTCATCACCTCCGTTGTGGGGAACTGCTATTAGCAGCTTCCCGGTTCTCAGGAATTGTTTCTGGAGGCCCTCTCATTGGCTGGCAGAGCCAAACATAAGCAGAAGCTGGCAGAGAGCAGAGCCTGGTTTCTCTCACTCCAGAAGGCACCTGCTTAGGCTCCTGCTGCTCCCAGGACTCTCAGAGGAGCATCCATCTTATTCATGCTGCCACCTTCCTGTTGAGTGTCATTCCTTGTGCTCCTTGATTCTGACTTCAGTTACCATTGGTTTCAGGGGGAGCTTCATGTGTCCAAACTCTTCAGTCATCCCAATATCCTGCCCTATCGAGCCACCTTTATTGCAGACAATGAGCTGTGGGTTGTCACGCCATTCATGGCATACGGTGAGTGGGAAAGGGCTCCCAGCAGGGGGGGGGAGTGGTTCTAAGAATCTGTTGCCAGCTGACTTACGTGCTGTATTTTTTCTCTGTTACCATTCCCTACTTCCCCATAACTCCTTTCTTCAGGTTCTGCAAAGGATCTCATCTGTACTCACTTCATGGATGGCATGAATGAACTGGCCATTGCTTACATCCTGCAGGGGGTGCTCAAGGCTCTTGACTACATCCACCACATGGGATACGTACACAGGTGCATTCTTAGGCCTATTCACCCTTCACAGGGGCGGGGATCTGTGCCCAGGAGCCCTCAAGTAAACACTGGAAGGTTGACTGAAGTTAGAGAGGCCAGACGTGGGATTCTGCCCTTGCCTCTGAGCTGGTGGGCAGAGTATCCAGCGTGTCGGTGCTGACTTGCTCTTCACTGAGCAGCTTGGCCCTTAGTACTGAGTGAGAGGAACGTCTGAGGTGGACCACTGCACCTGTCCCCCTTCTTCCTTGGGGCACCCAAACTGGTGTGTGCATCTCAGAGTCAGCTCTATGCTGAGAGGCTGGGGCAAGACAGAATGCTTAGTAGATGGTATCAGGAGAGCGGCTCACTGTAGGGAAGATAATAAAACAGGACCACTACCTAACACCCTATACAAAGGAGCTCTTCAGACGGATTAAAGACCTTATATCGATGTGAAACTACAGACTTAGAAGGAAATGTAAGGAAATATTTAGAACTTCTAAATGTTTTAGAAGCACAAAACGTAAGACAAAAAAATGGTGAGTTTAAGGATTTCTCTCCTAAAAGGACACCTTAAACGAAGTTAGGCCCTTTTTGGTAAGTAGACATGAGTGACAGCATGGGAGATGTTAGCTTTGTCTAAAACAGGAGGTTAGTAGCAAGGCAATCTTGTGAATCACCAAGAAAAGGATAGCAAAACAATAGAAAAATGACTGAAGGACATGAGGTTTATAAAAGAGGAAGCCCAAAGGCTAAGAGCCATATGAGCAATAATGATAAAAGCAAAACAGGAGGATGTGAGTTTACATACCAGGCCCTGGCACATTGGGAGGCTGGGGCAGGCGCAGTGCGGTGAGGCGGTGGGTTCGCCTGTCTGTACAGTGGAAGACGACAGCCCGACACAGCCGGTCAGGGTCACTGGGAACCAGAACCATGGGTGCTGCCTCGTGTGCACTCCAAAGAAACCTCACGCAGGCCCATCCGGGACCTGTACACAACATCACTTCCTCTTCACGGAGGGAGACAGTGGGAGTGTCCTTGCTGGAAGAAGAGATGAGTAAAAGTGTCAGACCCACCCCAGAGGGCCTCATGAATGGATCTCAAATACAGCACTGAGAGAAAAGGAAGAATGGGATGCATAACACAGTAGCATTAGGGAAATCGAACATATATGCAAACAAAACCATGATATACTTTACAAGAACAAACAAAAAGTACAGGCCAGTAGTAGCAGGTGGTGGGGGTAGTAGCAGGTGTTATGCTCAGTGATCCGTGAGCATAACGAAACTTTAACAAAAATTTGGTGACATGTAAGTGGGGTCATGCTTATTTTTTCTTTTGGGGGAATGTTTGAAACTTCTCACAAAAGTGTGTATTTGTGTATAAAATATGTATACGCACTGATAATACACACACACTCTGCCGGGGACAGAGCTGACTGGATTAGTGTGTAAAGACCAAAGGTCTGCAGTGTGCGGGGCTCCTGCTGCCCGGTGACACCCTCCTCCCACCACCTGCCCCCTCACCCCCACAGGAGTGTCAAAGCCAGCCACATTCTGATCTCCATGGACGGGAAGGTCTACCTGTCTGGGTTACGCAGCAACCTCAGCATGATCAGCCACGGGCAGCGGCAGCGGGTGGTCCACGATTTTCCCAAGTACAGTATCAAGGTTCTGCCTTGGCTCAGCCCGGAGGTCCTCCAGCAGGTCTGTACCGGGTCCCCAGGAGCCCGGGAGAGGGTGCAGGAAGGGCCCCTGGAGGGAGGCTTTCCTGCTGGCAGGTGGACTGGAAGGCCCCTCGCATGGCAATGAGGGAGTACTAGTAGGTACCCCACTGTGGGGTTCCAAACTGCTTCCCGCTGTTTCCACTCCCTGCAGAGATCTCCGCATCTTGTGGGAAGTGAGCGTTTGGTGCTCTCTTCATCCCTGAACTAAGCTGGAGCCTGGGGCTCACACTTCCTGCTGCTTATTTCAAACAGCCCTTCCTTCTCAACTAGCAGCTGCTCTTTATGGTGTAAGCAAGGAGAGTGTCTCCGCAGCTGGCCTTGATTTGGGGAGAAACATTCTTTCCCTCTCCTCAGTGACAGCTCCGCCCCGTTCTTCCTCTAAGAATGACGACCACGGCTATACACCGAGTGATATGTGGCTTTTTCCTCCTGACTTAGAATCTGCAGGGTTATGATGCCAAGTCTGACATCTACAGCGTGGGAATCACAGCCTGTGAGCTGGCCAACGGCCACGTCCCCTTTAAGGATATGCCTGCCACCCAGGTGAGCCTGCACCCAGTGCTTTCCTTCTTGCCTGTCTGCCTTCCACAGACGCTTGTTGATTACCCACCGCAGTCAGGATCCGGGAGAAAGACAGGCTTTCCTTCTAGAGCCCCGCCCAGGGGGATGGTTGTGTAACGGTTTGCTTCTGTGTGGTAACTGCTGAGCAAATAGAGAGCAGGGGAGGGGAGCTCAGGGGCAGGCCACTGCGATTAGCTGCAGAGCCTGGAACGGGTGCAAAAGGAGGCCCGCTGACCAGGTGCCTTTAAAATGTGTAAGTCCAGCTCACACGTCTGTGAATGTATAAAATACATTGTCCTCCTACCTTGATAAATATACGTGGAATTCAGAACTCTCAGACCTCTCTTCCTGCCACTTACAATAACTGCCTTTGGCCACTCCTGGGCGTACCAGCCAGGGGCATGGTCACCCCGGGAGGCAGACCCAGGGAGGCCCAGCAAGCCAGGCTTTACCAAGTCCAAGAAGTGGTCTTGGGTCATTGAGGCAGATTGCCTGGGTCCCCGGTACCTGGAACGTGAGAACTGAGGGGGAGTGAGGATGCATTACAAGTTCTGAGTGAGCCTCTCTCTTGAACCCACATCCTGCTCACCCTGCGGGGAGGAGGGCAGCTAGAGAGGGTCAAAGGGGAACTCTGTAGAGCAGGGGGCCCAGGGAGAGTTCTGGGAGGGGACACTTGAGGCCTGAAGGTAAATAAGAATTAACTGAAGAATGGGAACTAGAAGTAAACCTATCAGACAGAGGGAACAGCAAAGATCCAGAGTCAAGAAAGAACAGGGTCTGGGCAATAGCAAGTAGTGGTAAATGGCCCAAGTATAGGGGCATCTGGCGTGGGAGCTAGGTGATGTGGCTGGAGGAGGAAGCTAGGGCAGATCATGAAGGGCTTTGTATGCCACGTCAGGACACCTGGCTTCTCTTACAAAGCTGTGGAGACTCACTGAAGGCTTTAAGCACAGAGTGATAGCATCAGATCTGTATTTGAGGAAGCTCACGCTAGCAGGTGGGTTAGATACGGGAGATCAGGAAGGTGTAGAAATCTAAGTTATGAATCTAGAAAATCTAAGACACTGACAGAAAGATGCTCAGGGAAGAGTTAAAAGGCTCTTTAAGGTGAATAAAAGGTAAAGATCCAGAATAGCATGGCCCAATAGAACTTTCTGAGAAGACCCAAATGTTCTGTATCTGTACTGTCCAGTATGGTAGCCACTAGCCACCTGTGGCTATTAGGTGCTTAAAATGTGGCCAGTCACATTGAGGAACTGAGTTTTAAACCTAATTATATTTAAATTCATCTATATATATCTATATATCTAAAAGGCTAATCTGCCAAGTGTCCCCTCAGGAGTTTGACTGGGAGACTGATATCTCGCTGTGATGTGTGCTGACAACCAGAGGGTGGCACAGAACGAAGGAAGGCACTAGCCAGCAGCCTGAGAAGGAAGGCCCCAGCTGGCAGCCAGAAGGCCCCAATTGGTCCTGATTGCCAGCCAGGCCTAGGAGCCCTACTCATGCATGAATTTCATGGACCGGGCCTCTAGTTTAAATATAAATAGCCACATATACTAAGTGGTCACCATACTACTGCAGCTTGAAAGAGATTTCCAGGTTTCTGGCTTGGACAGAGCAATCCACAGGGTCTCAGATCTCCAAGATGGGGTGGGTTTCACATGTGCTGAGTCGGGGGTTTCCAAACAGCTGTCCAAGCTTGGCCCGTTCCCGGGTGTGCTGCTCCTGTGCCGCCTGCCACAGCGCCAGCCCGGACTGTGGCGCTGCAGGTGCTGCTAATGGCCCATCAGACCACCTGGGCTTGGCAAACTGGGGCTGTGCTGCAAAGAAAGCCTGCCGGCTGCTGCCTTCACCCAAGGGTGAGGGCTCGACAGTTAAAAGGACCTGATGCCTGTAACCAGGGGGAGACTGTGAGCTTCTTCCTTGCAGCCACATTGAAGAGGGCCCTTCTTTGCTTGTCCCTCTGCAAAAGCTTGGCCTAGATAGGGTGTGGCTGCCAAGCATTCCTTTGGAAAAGTTACTTATTCTACTTCTGTCTTTTCTCTACTCCCCCCAAATCTCATGTGTATTTGGGGGAAAGTGTATTTGTGAAGAAACTCTGTAGCTCTCCCAGCCTCCAGCCCAGTCCTGTCTCTCCCCCACAGATGCTGCTGGAGAAGCTCAACGGCACAGTCCCCTGCCTGCTGGACACCAGCACCATCCCCGCCGAGGAGCTGACCATGAGCACCTCGCGCTCAGCGGCCAACTCTGGCCTGAGTGACAGCCTGGCCACCAGCACCCCCAGGACCTCCAACGGAGACTCGCTATCGCACCCCTACCACCGCACCTTCTCCTCCCACTTCCACCACTTCGTGGAGCAGTGCCTTCAGCGCAACCCGGATGTCAGGTATTTCCGCTGGGCTTTCCAGGGAGCAGGTGGGCTCTGGGGGTTAAGGGTTCGAGAGGGTGCATCTGTCCTGGAAGGGTCTGGGTTCCGGGGAGGAGTCCAAGCCCCCACAGCCAGGGGGTCGGCCTGAGGGTTTGCTAAGAGGCCAGGCTGAGTAGCTCTGGCTGCTTTGCTGGCTGTGCTGGGGGAGGAAGCAGAGGGGCACTTGAGGGTGAGGTGTAAGCAGCAGGATTTTGGAAATCTGGGGCGCAGGGTGACGCTGGTCTCTCTTCCCTTTTCTCTGCAGACCAAGTGCCAGCACCCTCCTGAGCCATTCTTTTTTCAAGCAGGTACAGTAGCCCTTTGCTGGGCTCCGTTTTCTCCCTGTGGTTCTGATTCCCCAACAGCCTTAGCTTTGGGTCTTTAGGCATTCTCTTCTCCTCCCTTCGAGTCAGAGACGACCATTCCTGAAGCCCTAAGGGGCCACTCCTTCCTCTCAGAGAAGCTCTGGACTCCAAAGGCCCATCTCCACGGGCCATGGGCGTCCCGGGACCAGAGCAGCAGGATTACCCTCCCCCGCCCCCTTTCCTCCTCCAGATCAAGCGACGAGCCTCAGAGGCTTTGCCCGAGTTACTGCGGCCTGTCACCCCCATCACCAGTTTTGAGGGCAGCCAGTCTCAGGGTCACAGTGGGATCTTCGGCCTGGTAACCAACCTGGAAGAGCTGGAGGTGGACGACTGGGAGTTCTGAGCCTCTGAGGAAGGTGCACATTTTCCAGCGCGGGAGGGACGAGTGAGCCTCCCGGCCCTTCCTGAGCGCTGGCCACATTCCCACCCTCCGGGGTGCAGCCTGGGTAGAAAGGACCTCTCTGCCAGGAGAGTTGCCTGCTTGCTGGTGGGGAAAGAAGCTCCGGAGAGAAACTTTTCTTTACTGCTCCAAGGCTTCTGAGACACCAACCAGGGATCCGGACCGGCCAGAAAGCGGATATTCCCAGTCCTGGGAGTTCAGTGACCTCTTCAGAAGGAAGAGATGCTATCCTGGCCCTGGGGGCTGAAGTTCAAGTCCAGGGTTTTGACTCATTGACACAGAGAACTGTGTGACTTCCTCTTCCCGCTCATGCTCTCCTACCAGCCAAATTCCATTCTTTCCCAGTGTTCCCAGACCCTGCGGGCCCGTGGAGAGGCAAGCAATAAGCAACCGGTGCCCCCTGCCCTCTGCCCTCTCCCCACAGCCGGGGGAGGGTGTTTCCTTTGTAAGCACTGGTGAAGCTGGGGCAGTGTGTCCCGCCCTTGTTGCCTTCCTCCAGAGTTCATCTGTTCCGTGCATTCCTTTCCCAGAGTCCATCCCCGCCTCCTGCCGCTGCCTTGGTGCTTTCTCTCAAGGGTCCTAATGTCTTGCCTAGCCAGAGGGCTTAAGTCCTTACACCGTGTTAGTTTTATTGTCAGAACAAATTAAAATTTTCAGAGAACCCATTGGGGAGTGCATCGTTGTGTGTTGCCCATACAGGCTCAGACATGTCTGTCCCCCTGGGGCCCTGCAGACAGCCTCACAACACACCCATTTTTTTACAACCCATAATAGATTTTTGTCTCTTAACTATCTGAGAATCAGAGACTGTTAACTTTAGCCTGTGGCCGTCTAAACACTTCTGGGCTGGAAAGGACGAGGTGCTGGAGACCAGCCCCTCGGAGGGTAGGGCCACCAGGAGTCCAGATAAGGATGCTCACCTCAGGCAGGTGAGGAGGTGGAGGGGTTATTTGGTAACATGACTTGCGGCGTCTCCTTTCCACTGGAACTAATACCCAAAGAGCAGGTAACCTAAGAACCAGCCCAGCCCCCTGCCCTGTCATCCTGGCTGGCAGCCAGAGAGCCGGGCCAGGGGGTGATTCTAACCTGGGTTTTCACGGTGCCCCTCAGCCTGCATGTGCACCAGCTGGCACCTTCCCCCTGCCAGCCCCTGAGGGGTGAGGTGCCCCGCACTGGGTGAGGCCCTTCAGATGTGAGATTAAGGAAGCGCCCCTCCCTATTTCCTGAAGCCGCTTTGCAGCATCAGATGCTCTCCCTTTCCTCCGCAATGGTAACATCAGCTTAAACAAGAAAAAAGCCTCTTCCTTTGGCAGTTACAGGGGGTGGATGTGAAGGAATGACCCCATCCCTGAGATGGGGTGTGGAGGCCTGACCTGGAGTGTGTGAGGTCAGGTCACATTTCCTACCCTTTTCTCCCCTGCCCAGCTCTGTATTTCTCCTCTAAACCTCAAGTTCTCCTTTCCTAACATCATTTTCAGCTGGTTTTCTTTGTAAGCTGCTTTCTTCACCTTGCTTGTCAGCTCATTCTTAAGCCAAACTGCTGACTGCAGCAGCTCCCTGCAGTTGGATCTGGGCAGGGCAAGGGGGCCTCCTGGTCAAGCCCCCCTGACTTTCCCCGACTGCAGCCCAAACCCTATGTCCCGGAGGGAGGGCTTCACCCTTTTAAAATCATTACGGCCCCTTTGAGAACCTGATGGCAGGAAACCTGGCAGGAAAGTTTCTCACCCATCCAGGGAGTCCTCAGGCCTGCAGCTCAACGCTAACCCAGACCCTCTGGGGAGGAGGAAAGTGAAGCTCGGCGTGGACCGAGGAGTGGGCCGCTGTGCGGCCAAGAGCAGCTGGGGGCCGGGAAGCCTGCGGCCTCGCCTCCCTGCCAGGGGTGGAGGTGCTGCGTGCGCTCCCTGACAAGTGTGGGCCGCGGGTTCTATTCCTGCCGCGTGGGAACGAGCTATGTTTAGGGCTGAGCTTCGTCAAACAGCCTGCAGCCTGGTATCAGGCAGAGCTCTGCATCCTGTGCCCGCAGGACCCGCCCTCCCAGCAAAGGTCTATCCTGGAGGGCACGGCTCCCGCACAGCTGAGGGAGGTCACCTACCTCGTGGGCGCTGCCTCAGGCCTGCGCTGTGGGCTGGAGCAGGGTCCGGGCACCTACCTCCTGGGCGCTGCCTCTGGCCCGGGCTGTGGGCCGGAGCAGGGTCCGGGCACCTACCTCCTGGGCGCTGCCTCTGGCCCGGGCTGTGGGCCGGAGCAGGGTCCGGGCACCTACCTCCTGGGCGCTGCCTCTGGCCCGGGCTGTGGGCCGGAGCAGCGTCCGGGCACCTACCTCCTGGGTGCTGCCTCTGGCCCCCTGGGTGCTGCCTCTGGCCCGGGCTGCGGGCTGGAGCAGGCTCCGCCGGCGTGGCCGGAGGGCAGGGGGAGAGCGGGTCAGGAGGCCTGGCTTCCCCAGCTGTTTCCCATGGTCCAAACACTTCAAACCTCAGCCTCACCCCCTGTATTGCCGAGGTCTGCTTGTTTTAGGGATGGAGATCTCCTCCCCTGAGGGGCCAGGGGTGACTAATCCCACACAATCTGGCCACAGAACCATCAGACTCCGAGGACCAATGCCGGGGGACACCAAAGGCAGTCGCCTCCCGGCCCTGGTCTGGGGGTCTCGGGCCTTCGTGCAGCCCGTCCCGCGGAGCGCGGGCGGCGGTGACTGGACCGAGGCCCAGGCCCCCCGCGGCCGCTGTGCCTCGCAGCCTGGAGGCCGGGCTGGGAGACCGCGTGCCCCGCCACCGCCGCCACCTTTCCCGGGGCGAGCAGGCGGGGCTGCCCCCGCTGGGAGGACGCGAGGCCCCAGGCCGGGACCCCCGGGCGGCCCTGCGGGGTCCGGACACAGGTCCACGGAGCGCCGGCCGGGAACGGGGCGGTCGGGCCTGCACCTCGGAGCCAACTTGGGGGAACCCGGCACCGAAAGGCCCATGGGAAGCCCGGTTCGCCATTTGTCCCGCGACCCCAGGTCTCAGCCCGAACTCGTCCCCACCCGCGGCCCGCGGCCCCGGGCTCTGTCGATGCCTCCGCCCGCAGCGGCCGGGGGGCCCGGGTTCGCGGGGCCGGGGTGGGGGTGCGGAGCGCGGGGGGAGCGGGCAGACAAAGGGGGACGGCGGGCGGGGAAGACAAAGCGCGGAGGGGCCGGCGGCGGCGCGGGCGGGGGCGGCCCCGGGCGCGGCGGAGCCAATGGGCGGGCGCGCGGCGGGGGCGGCGGGGGCGGCGCCGCGATAAGGCGGCGGCGGCGGGGGCGCGGGAGCCACAGCGAGTGGTGGCTGCTCGCGCCCGCGCCCGCCTCGCGCTGGGAGCGCCCCCCGGAGACCGACCCCCGCCCGCGGCCTCGGCGGGACCCGGTGAGACTCGGCGGGCGGCCGGGGGTGGGGGCTGCACCGGCTCGCAAACCGGGCGCCTAGGGGGGCGGCGGGGGCGCCGCTCCGGAGCCCCGAGGCCAGCAGCCGGCCCCCGGGACAAGTCGCCGGGCGGGGAGGGGCCCATATTCCCCTCGGTGGGTCCGCGGGATCCCGGGTGCGGGGGTCGCGCCCACGCGGGGTCTGGGGACGGAGAAGCGGGGCGCGCAGCGGGCCTGGCCGGAGAGCGCTGTCCAGGGGCGCGGGGACCGGGCTGGGGTGCCGGCGGCCTCGGCCCCTCGGCCCCTCGGCCCCGCGCTGGGCTGCGTCGGGCTGGGGTCAGGCCAGGGCAGCGCGATGTCGCCTCAGCCCTGCCCGGCCCGCCCTCTCCTGACCTCCCTCACCCCCACCCCTCCCACCCACCCCCACCCCAGCGGTCCCGCTCCGCGAGGCGCTCCCCGCGGCTGTGCACAGCCCCCTCCTCAGCCGCCCTGTTCAGGCCCCGACATATGGTTCCACTCAGGAGCCCCCGCCCCGGGGGAGCAGCGTGGGGGGCTGGCGGGAGAAGGGGGACGGGGTGAGGGGCGGAAGTGGCAAGACCCAGAGCAACAGGAAATGACTTGGGAAAGTCCCAACCGCAGCCCCCCGCCCCCTTTGCCTGTAAACACCCCCACCCTGCAGGCCGGGGAAGGGCTTGTGGGGCCTGACCTACCGACTTCCCCTTGCAGAACCCAGCGGGTGCCGCGTCCCAGCCCGGGCCACCATTGCTTCCAATCAGCCATGTTCCAGGCCGCAGGAGCCGCCCCGGCCACCCCCTCTCATGTAGGTGACCGTGACCAGCCGGGTGGGAGGACACCCCGGGGCAGGGGTCTGGCCTGGGGATGAAGGGGTGAGGAGCGGTGTTTGTCTACCACCCTTCCCCTCCCCCCTCGAGTGCCCCTGGGATTGGGCTGGTGACCCCAGTGAAGGCTGGGGCATCTCAGCTGCCCCTGCCCTGACTGGCCCTCCCCCTCAGGAAGCCAAAGGCAGCGGCGGCGGCCCCAGCACTGTCCAGCGCTCCAAGGTAGGACCCCACCCCTGGAGTGTTGGGGAGGGAGGGAGGGATGGGCGCTAGTCAGACCCCTGGCTGAGTCTCTCTCCAACAGTCCTTCAGCCTGCGGGCCCAGGTGAAAGAGACCTGTGCTTCCTGCCAGAAGACCGTGTACCCCATGGAGAGGCTGGTGGCGGACAAGCTCATTTTCCACAATTCCTGCTTCTGCTGCAAGCACTGCCACTCCAAGCTGAGGTGCGCCCTTGCCCTGCCCCTGCCCGCCTTCCAGCCCTCTCCCGACCTGACCACAGTTGTTCTGCTTCTGCAGCCTGGGCAATTACGCGGCACTGCATGGAGAGTTTTACTGCAAACCCCACTTTCAGCAGCTGTTTAAGAGCAAAGGCAACTACGACGAGGGCTTCGGCCGGAAGCAGCACAAGGAGCTCTGGGCCCACAAGGAGGTGGACCCCAGCACCAAGACAGCCTAAGGCCCTCTGACCATCCGTTCCCTCTGACGAGGGCCTGGAGCAGGACAGTGGGAAGTGTGGAGAGACTGGACCTGAGCTCACAGGGGGAGACGGTGGGAAGGGGATGAGGCCATCTTGCTCCAGCAGAGGGTTATGGGGGCAGGGCTCTGTTCCAGGATTCCTTCGTTCTCCCTCAGAGGGTGGGGATTTGAGATCCAGGGTTGGGGGTTGCTCACCACCCTGCTTCCTGCTTCTTTCCCCTCTCCCACTTAACCCCCTGGCTCCCCCGGAGACCCCCAAGCCCAGCTTCCTTATCTAGGTGCCTTTTCTCCAGCCAGGAGTCAGCATGCCCCCTCAGGGTCCTAAGCTCCCTCACTGCCACCTGGGGCCCTGTGTGGGCCCTTTGTCTCCCCATCTACCTCTGTCCTTAGCCTGGTTCTGAGCCATGGAGACTTTGGAGGAAGGAGAGCCAGAGTGCCTCTGCTGGGCCTGGCAGAATGCCCCCAGGGCTCTGTCGGGGAGGAGAGGGAAAGTGGAGCAGCAAGGCATGGCAGGGCGTGCCCCGGTGGGGCTTGGGACCATCGCACACCACCCACACATATCAAGAAGCAGAAACTAAAGCACCTGCCAGGCTGAGAGCCACAGAGTCTGGTGGGGGCCACACTCCCTTCCTCTTCTTGTTTCTGCCGGTTCTGACTTGTGATCAACCCTGTTTTAAACATGTTTCAACGGATCCTGACTCTGTTATGTGGTCTGATTGGCTGGGGGGCAGGGGGCAGGGACACAGATTCACCATGCTAAGGTGAAGGGGGAGGGCACAGTCAGCACAGAGCACATCTGGCCTTGATGGGGGACAGTGATGAGTATCAGAAATACCAGTCAGCCTGAGAAAAGGGGTGTCCTCTTCCAGCCAGGTCTCCATGCTGTAAGACCTCTCTGGATTTATAACAGACTCCTTTGTCCTTCAGCCTTGGTGTTGGTTAAGAGGGTCAGCCATCAGTGCGTGATGGTTCCTGGCTTCACTGCACTTCAATATGTGGGGGTAGAAAGCAGAACCCTTCTGCTGAGCCCTGGTCTGGGCCCCTTTTGTCCTGGAATCAGTAAGGATGGAGAGAATCAGCATATCTCACCCTGCTTTTTCAAGCTCCAATGAGGGCAGCCATGGTTAGTCCCAGGTAGTCCAAACAACTTTCCTGCCCCCTCTGAGGGACAAGGCACCCTTGGAAGACCCCCCACACCTAACAGAATAGAGGCAAGAAATCTGGGTTATCTAACCCAGCCCAGCTGTCCCTATTTCCCCAAATTGCCCGTGAGCTATGCAAGTTGGTAGAGCAAGAGGGCAGGCTCCTGGGGACTTACTACCACTGCCCCATAGAACTGAAGTTCTTAAGTGGCCTTAGGCGAGGCCTCAAACTGATGGCAGATGGGCCACTGTTGTGTGGAAGTAGACTTGGCTCCTCGAAACAGCAGAGCTAACAGTAAGCAGAATGGGTCCTCAGAGCCTCACTCAAGGCAGGCCCCACTTAGATGGGGACAAGGATGGTCTCTCACTGCCCAGAGCTCAGCAACAGCCACATAGACCAGGGGGAGACACCAGAGAGATGGCTCCTGGAGGCACTGGATTCCTGCCTTGAAAGGATAGGACTGAGGGAAGACTCCCTAGGCTGGGAAGACTACTAGATGCCATAAAGGTGCTGGGAGCCCAGCCACGTGACAATGGGACTGACAGTGCCATGTCAGTAAGTCAGCCCTCAGCAGAGCTGAAAGCAAGAAGGGGAGGTGCCATCTCAGCAGTGGTACCAGCCAAGTCATCCCATCCCAGAACTACCTCTTGGAGTCAAGCTCTCTACTCAGGAGCCCACATTTAATAGGCACTACGCCTGGCACCTCCCAGGCAAGCACCTGCTCCCTCCACGTTCAACCAAAAGCATCGTCACCGGACCCCTTGGGTATAAATGATCCCTTTTTATTTTAAGTAATGCACGACACTGGCCTGGCTTTGCTCTGCAAGCCCTCGGTCAAGATATAGTCAAATAACTATGGCTGCAGGTTCTTCTGCACGACCCACAATTCAGACACACACAGAGCTGAGGTGAGTGGGAGGGGCAGGAGGGTGGCAAAGGGCAGACTCTCCCCAGCTCTGGCCTCTGTTGGGTTGGCCAAGGCTGACACCCCACGGAATGATGAGCAAATGGCACAAGGCCCTTCCCACAGCAACCTGGAGCTGCTGGGAATTGCCCTTCAGAACCTTTGGGCCCAGACGGTTCTAAGCCCACAACTTTTCATCTGGGTTATTTAATAATAAATTAAAATTAAGCAATAGCTTGGTCCTGAGGATGCTGATCCAGCATGTCCACATTTTGGCACAAATATCAGGGTCTTGGTTGTTGGTTTTTTGTTTTGAGTGCATGGCTTGTTGGCTTGTTTGCAAATTAATTTTTAAAAACATTCCCTGTGAAGACAGACCCTGGGGTGGGGGGAGTGGGGCTCTGAGAGCCTGAACCTGGGACACAGAGTCGTCTCATCTTGTCAGCTCTGGCACTGCGCATGCTCTTGTTTCCTCTTAGAAAATGGAGACAGGACAGGGGTGTGGGCCCAAGAAGAGTGGTGGAGCCATCAGGACAGGGTCGTGGAGAGGCCGAGCTGCTACTACACAGCTTTGGTCGAGATGAGGGGCTGGTCCCCACCCTGGGCAAGGGCCGAGGTGGAGGCAGGAGCATATGCTCGCTGTCTTAGGGCCGGGCTGGGGTGCCTGACAAAGACCCCTGGGAGAAGAGGATGGAAATGGGCCCAGGCCCAACTGGCACCGTGCAACACATTCCTGTAAAACCTGCTTTCATTTTTCTCTCTTGAGGCATCCTTCACCTGTAACAGTCTAGAAGTGATATATATAAACCACCAAATATGATCTGATATAAATTAACAAGTACAAGGCCTCACATTACATGATGTGAAAAGGCTAAAAACAGCGATAGAAACTACATTCATAAAAGTGCATCGTCAACATACAACGAAGGCTTTGGCTTGTTCTGGTGCCCACAGGGACGTGGGCATGGCTGGCAATGAGCTGCCTGGTGCTAATCCTCAGCTCCCCGGAGACACCCATCCCTGGGCACTGGCTACTTTTTCTTTTTCTTTAATGACAACTCCCAAGGAAACTGGGTGTTGAGAGGGAGGAGCTCTAGCAATAGGCACATTTTGGAGGGGAGGGGCCAGAAGAAAGGACTAGCGCCCAGGCTGAGGTAAATAAGGCCAACTCTAAGCTGCTTGGAGATACTGGCTCCCAGACCCCTGATGCCATTCCTCCGCCAAGGGAGGAGCAAGAAGGGAAAGAGGGTGAGACCTCGTGGGGATGGGCAAGGCAGGCCAAGGAGGAACAGAGCTGGCGGTTTTAGACATGGTTGGTGGCATCACAGGGGCTCTCCCTTCTACCAGTTGGAGGGCTCTGGCCTAGCAGGGTCATACTCACAGACAGCCTGATACAACTCTCCTGGCTAGCCTACGCTCTCAGTGTGCTGTCCATCTTCCTGTCCGCTGCGGTGTGGGAACAGATGCCAGGCCAGGAGCACAAAGGCCATTACCTTCAGCTCTTTCCAATCCAGCCCGAGGCCTGGGCCCACAGCAGGGGGACTCAGAACCCAGAGGGGACACAGTCTCCAGTTCAGAAACTGGGTACAGCGTAAGAGTGACTCCAACTTGTAAAACAGACAATTGCATTGACAAAACTGCCTCTTAGTGGGCAGTTCTACATCTCAGGCCCCTGCTTGGGAAAGCAGGGTCACAGGGCAGGTAGGACAGGTCCTCCTTCCCTGAATAAGGCAGCATAACATTGCTTCATTCATCTTTGGTAAGGAAGGGACTGGCAAGCTGACCTGGGGGCTCCAGGGGAGTGCAGCCCAGGCCTCTGCCTTCCATTGGCTGCAGGACGCTGGGCTTTACCTCAGGCTTGGGTGGGCTCATCCAGCCCAGAGATGCCCTGGTGATCTCCAGACATGGGGAGGAGAAACAAAATAACACTCGAATGAAAGTAACACTATTCGGACCCTCGTGTCCATCTTGTGCCCCAGACCCCGGGCTCTGGAGCTGATTGCAGTGTCAGGACACAGCCCCAATGGTGGAGACCATGGCACCTTGCACACTGTTCCTAGCCCCTTGCCCTCCATGCTGAGCTTACAAGGCTGGAGGTCTCAGGTCTGGCAGGCTGGGGGCTTCCAGTCCTTGAGGCTGCAGCCACCCCACCCTGGTTCTGAGCCCCAGTGGCAGAAGGGGCACAGACAAACGCTGGCTGGACGGTAGTTCAATGGTCCTCAGCCTTGCCTGGGAGAAGCAGCAACTTTGCTGAGTCCCATAGCAGCCCCTTGCCCTGCAGCAGGGGCAGCTGGCAGCAGCGTGGCCTTGAGAGCTCAGTACACAAGCTGTGCAAAGTGGTGTGTGAGCAGCTCTTCGGCCGAAGGTCTCTGTCGGGCCTCCACAAAAATGCGCCTCAGGAAGTCCCGACCGTGCTCAGAGATGTGGGAGGGCAGCTGAGGGTTGGTGGGCTGCGTGGCAATCTTGAAAATGGCGGCCATGGCTTCATACTCTGCCCAAGGTGGTTTCTCTGTCAGCATTTCTACCACAGTGCAGCCCAGGCTCCTGGAGAGAGAGAACTCCATGTCACCTCGTAGCCATCCTGGGCACCCAGCTGCCCTGCCCACTGCTGTGAAAGGAGGTGCTTTTCTCAGAACACCCTGAGGCGGGATGGGCCACGGTGAGGATCAACACCCTATAGAGCAGCGGTCACCAACCTTTCAGACGTCACAGACCACTAGTGGTCCCCAGACCACCGGTTCATGACCACTGCTCCAAAGGTTTCCTTAAACCAGTGGCCGCCAACCTTTCAGACCTCATGGGCCGCCGGTTGGTGACCACTGCTAAAGAGGGTCCTCAATGTCAGAAGAGGATTCAAAAAACTACCAGCCTTATCCACACAGCTTCATCAACCTATACCTATTTGGATACTTCTTGAGACTGGGGAAGAGAACCACTTAGTATGGACAGAAAGAGCTCCAAGATAACTAGCTCCAAGATAGTTTCCTATTGCTGCTGTATCAAATGTGCCTGCTTTACAAATGAGCCTAATGGCATAAAAAACAATACAAACTTATTCTAGTTCTGGAGGTCAGAAGTCTAAAATCAGTCTCACTGGGCTAACATCAGTGGAGATGGCTCCTCTGGAAACTCTGAGGGGAGAATTTCCTTGCTTCTTCCAGCTTCTAGAGGCTGCCTACATTCATTGGCTCGTGGCCCCTTTCTTGCACCTCTCACTCCCAACCTCTTGCTTACACTCTTACACTTACTACCCACTATGATCTCCTGCCTCCCTTTTATAAGGACCTGTTGATTATGCTGGCCCACCTGGATAATCTGGGATGATCTTCCCATCTCAATATTCTTAAATTAATCACATCTGCAAAGGCCCTTCTGCCATATAAGGTAACATTAACAGGTCAAAGGAGTTAGTACTTGGACATCTTCAGGGGACCATCATTCAGCCCTCCACAAAAATGTTCCAAGAGGAAGAGCCTTCCAGGTCCTTTCAGAGGAAGGACATGAAGTTAAGGGGAGCAAATGCAAGCTGTCTGAGCATTAGGGAAACGCCTGCTAGTTTAGGGCTGATCCAGGCCCTCAAAATGGATTCAACCTCTATTTTAGCAAAAATCAGGGATGTTTCCACAGCATAAGTTCCCAGCAATAACATTTCTTATTTGAAGTTAAGACATACCACCACCTCTGTATCCTGATCTAGTTGGCAAGAGGTGGACCGACCCTCCGTCCCTCCCTCCCTCCCTCCCTCCCTCCACACCAGAGAGTCCAAAGCTCATTTGTAAGTTGGGGCCACAAGAGCCCAGACAGGGAGATGGGGTCCCAGCATGCTCATAGTGCTCACCACACATCTGCTTTCCTTCCATAGCCTTCGCCGCTGATGACCTCAGGGCTCATCCAGTAGGGTGTGCCGGTGACCGAGCGCATACCCGGGCCTGACATGCAGATGGTCTGCAGGCGCTTGCTGGCCCCAAAGTCCCCCAGCTTCACATTCCCGGCAGAGTCTCGGAGGATGTTGGCTCCTAAGGCACGAAAGAGCAGAGCCTGCAACCCTGAACCCTCAGGCCTTTTTCCTCCCTCTTTCCCTCCCTCCCAGGTCACAGGGCTGCTGGGAGGATGGGGCTATCATGAATTAGATGTGAATTGCACAGGGCAAACAGCCTCAGCCCTACAGCACAAAATGATTATTACCATGGTCAACATTGCTGAGCGTTTTATTCTGCAATATTTTTCCAAATTGCTCAACCGATCTTCACACCAATTCCCCAAGAAAGCAATTAGGGTCCTACTTTTCAAAAAGTTTTAAAATGGTCAAGTGACCCCAGGGGTCTTGGGGACCCCAGGGCCTGCCCCTACTCACCCTTGATGTCCCGGTGAACAATCATGTTGCTGTGCAGGTAAGACATGCCCTCCAGGATCTGCCGGGTGTATTTTCGGGTCACACTCTCTGTCAGGGCGCCGTAGGCCTTCAACTGGTCTTTCACTGAGCCCTACAGACACAGAAGTCAGAGGGAGTCACTGCAGGAAGGTGGCAGGAGAGGGGCAAGGCTATTTCTAGCCCCCAGCATTGCAGCAAATAAGTGATACATCCAATTCCCACTTGCAATGTACCAGACACTTTGCTAGGGACTGCTGGGCAGTTTGGGGAAGTCTGAGACAGCCCTTCCTTCAAGCACCGGGTGACTGAAATCCAGAAGTGGTCCCACTGCCCTGGGAAAGGCAGTCCTTAGTGGACAGTGCAGCCATCTTGGAAGCCTCAGGTGAGGCGGCCTGGGCACATTTCTCACCCTCACCGTCACTGTGACCACAGGCAGGCCCTTCTTGACTACACATCCTGCTGTCACCTCACCTTCTCCTGTGAGCCTCTGGATCAAACCCATGTCAAAGGAATCCCTTCTGCAGGCCCGAACCCCAGGTGAGGCCCTCTCTATGCGTCTCACACACATCAAGGGCACATACCCCCGGCATGTACTCCATGAAGATGGTCAGAGTCTTCTCAGCGCGGTCCCGCAGACAGCCGTAGTACTGCACAATGCGCTCATGCTGCAAGTTTTTCAGCAACTGGATCTCACACTCCAGAGCACTCACCTCCTAGGGGAGAGGCCAGTGGTCACCTCAGCTCTCAGGGCCCTGGTCTGCCTGCCTGGGATCAGCTCAGCTTGGCCTAGTCAGTGTCCTCAGAGTGGTCTGCCTTGGGAACTTTAGCTGGAGAAACGGGGGACTCTCTCAACTGTCTGGCTGTTGGCCTCAGTGCAGGGCAACCCTTTGAATGGTGGCACTCCAACACAGGCAATAGGAAAACAGAGGTGGGAGAAGGTGTTGTGGGTGCTTGGTAACTGCTGTACTTCAGTAACTCATGTATTGATCCTCTCAGATTGGAATGTAGGCCACACCCAAAACTGAACTACGAAGACAGGCTCCTTCCTGGGCTGAAAGAGACATCATTTGAGAAGGCATGGGCTACTCTTGGTGGCACTCTCATTTTGGGTTGCTTAGTACTTTGGCATCAACTCAGTTCTTCATATCCAATCCTTCCTTGGGGTGATGGTGCTCTTTGGACCACAGTCCCTTCACTCCTTGGCCAGGGCCACAGTGGACAGCAAGGGAACGTGGGAGGAAGAATAATGGAGGAAACAATCTGTAGCTTTTAAGCAATTAGCTTGTGCAAAAAAGACTGGTATTTGTTTGAGAGGGTGGAACTAGAAGTCAGACCATGGGGAAGATAGTACCTTGCTTGTCTCAGGACTATCTGGATCAAACTGGACCTGCTTAGAAGCAAGTTCACGTCCTGTATCCACGTCATAACACAGATAGACCCTGCCAAAGGCACCCTGGCCCAGGAGCTTCCCCCGGCGCCAATTGATGGGGGCACTTGGAGCTACAGGAGAGCAGAAGGAAAGAGCTTTAGTCTGTGCACATTATTTATTGATGTCCTCCCTGATTCCCCAGAGGCTCTATATGGGACCGTGGCTGCATCCCGCATCACCTGGCACTATTACAACTGACTGCATCATCTCCACCCCCACCTGTAGCAGGCCTAGTGCCCTGTCAGTCAGACCTTCAGGCCTGAGTCCCAAGAAACAGAGAACTGACTGAAGTCATGGTTAAATGATTTTCTGCATTGATCCAACACCTGTATCTCCAAAGCCCCTAAATATCTTAACATGGCAGGGATTAAGGAGACTGCTTTTCAATTTAAACATGGAAAAACTAAAGACCAAAGAGAGGAAGTGGCCTGTCACACAAAGGTGGAGAAGGACTAAGGTGAAGTGGATCTGCTGTCCCCCTCCAGGCTCTTCCAGTTTGGAGAGGATGAGCCAAAGCAGCTTACTGCTGAGCCAGACAACCCCGTAGACTCACTGGCTTTCCAACCTGCAGCTCATCTGAGCATCCCCTGGCCAATCTCCTCCTAGTGAGGGCCCACTCCTTACACTTGGTTGGCACATTCCTCTCCTGCACAGAGAGGGCATTCTCGCTGTCCGCACTCCGCAGGCGCCCACGGGGGTCCATATACTGCACTGCCAGACCCATGTTCTCGCCGTTCGTGCTCAGGGAACGGCTGGAGGGCACCAGGGTGAACAGGTTACCTTGATGACGTCGTATTCGGGGAAATGTTCTTCTGCCTGAAGGGGTGCAGGGGCCAGAGTAGAGTAAGTCAGACCTCTGGTCCTGAAGCTGAATGTGCAAACCAAGTCATAACACCAGCTCTAGTCCATCCTCTCTGCCTTCCTGCCTAATTCATGCCAGAATGGCTTATGTCCTACACACCTTAAGAATCAGGACAAAAGCAGGAATTAGGAAGCAGCCAGAGATGGTTAAGGAAGCTCTGGCCAAAGGGAAGGCACAGAGCTGTTTCTCGGGCCCCACAGTACTCGCAGGCCAATCCACAGCTGAAGTGTTTTCCTTGGCGTCCTAATCCTAAATCTCAGCAGAAGCTCCACTCCGTCTGCTGCCAAAGGGCAGAAGAGGGCGATGGAGAGCTGGTGCCCTGGAGCAGGCTGCACACTCAAACAAAGGACAAAGTTCCCAGTGACAGTATCCTGAGTCTACAAAAAACGGTTCTCCCCTTTTTTTGTTTTTCCCTGTTTCTAAGATCTCAAGTCTGAACACAGCTCCTCAAAAATCAAGGAAACACGGGACCGGGAGTGCCCTGGCCCACCCCTTTGCAGTGGCTTTTCCCCAGCAGAGTTGTAACTATGTCCTTTTTGAGGCAGCCAGCAGATGGCAATGCACTCACCATCATTGTAGTCCTTGTGGTGCACAGAAACATGATAGCGCCGGGGGTAGGTTCCACCTTTGACCCCTTTGTCATAGAGCTGAGTTTCCCGATCTGAGTAAGAAAGAGGAATCACTGGCTTCTGGGTAGACAATGGAGAGTGGTCCATTTAAGCCCCCAGGACACCTGAGACCTCAGATCAGTAGGCCCAAGGAAACTTAAAACACAGTTCTGGCTTCCCAACTCAGCTTTCAAAAACAGAATGCAGGCAGCCCCACCCAGGCAGCCTGTGGTGCTCACCAGGGCTCTGGGGAACTCACCCGAGAACTCCTGTCTGTTGTCTGGGAAGCTCTGGGCTCGGGACATTCGTGATTTCCGGAAGGATGGACTGGAAAAAAAATAAAACAAAATCACAGGGTAGACTTTAGCATACTTCCAAAGCAGCTCACCAGGGCAAAAGGCAGGATATCCAGACTCCAGACGGACTCCCTTTTCTAACTTCCTCACACGTCATTACATGGTAAGAAGCACCTTCTCTTTACTAGCCTAAGACCCAAATCTGACAGGACCCTGAATGATGAGCCCCTCCAGTCCTACTGAACTACACTCTGGCTGCACAGCACTTTCCCTTCTTATCCTTTCCTCCCACCTTAGTAATGGAGGAGTTGAAAAAAACAACAAAAAGCCTTGCCTAAGGCAGTAATAAAAATAGCAACCCCACCAAGCATCTTCCTTTAAGACTAAACACCACTATCCCATTTTGGAGATGAGGAAACTGAGGAAGAGAGAGGTTAAGGGACTTATCCAAAGCTACTTGACTCATATTTGGTGGCGCTGGGGTCCATCTGGCCTAGATCCTGTGAAGGGAAGATGGAAACCGTATGCTCAAGTTAGGCCAGGCATCAGAGAAAGAAGTCCAGGTCATCGGGTTTCACTCCCAAGGAGAAGAAAAAAAAGGCAAGGGAGGGAAAACCCCAAGAATCAAGTGAGTAAATTTAGCTGTCTTTCCCAGAATCCATCTAGATGGTCCTTTCCCTTAAAACGACTAGACTCAGACCTTCTTTAGTCCTGTCCTGCTGCCCCATCCCTACATCCCAGTTTGGCCACAAAGCTTAGGAGTTGGTCCCTATCCTCGCAGAGCCCTCAGAGTGTAGTAGCAAGCCTCATACAAAGCTATAAATTGGATATCAACATCTATGACTGTATGTATTCTATATCTAGAGGGAAGGCAGTGCTCACCAGTGTTCAGATTTGTTCAGAAAGACATAGTACCAATTTGGTCATGGTCACAAGGTCAGTACCCACAGGAACAATTAATCAGTGACACAAAGAAAAAAAAAATTTACAAACTTGCCCCACAGCCTCTGACCGTAGCTCTAAGCCCAGCCAGATGTGATGAAACATTCTCTTGGACATAACGAAGTCAAGGTGAGAGACTGGCTGGATCAATGCCAAAGCCAACTCAAAACAACCCCCCGCTGATGAGCAAACCAGCTCCACAGAACCATTTGGCATGTAAAGGACAGCACTTGTCCCCTCCCAAAGAGCAAGAACAAGATTACACACCAGGCTGTGTAAGCTAGGCAGTCTGGACATTTTATTTTCTTTTTTTATATCCTACTTTCTTATTCCACCAGAAACATTTAAAAAAAAAAAAAAAAAAGTGAACCCATGGATGATAATTCAATTTTGTCCCCAAAACACTGAAGGTCCACTACTTCTCAATCTAGATCACAGCAATGAGGCCAACAGTACTAGAGCAGCATGTATTATGTAGAGACAATAAAGCAAGCATTTAATACCTGTGAGCTGCTATGCTGAGCTATTACATTCATCTAATTATATAAACATAACATTCACATGGTGTTTGGAAAGTTAAGGAGAGGTTCTTTACCAGAAGTACATTTTTACCATGGGCATGTAAGACCAGTGTCTAGAGTGGAGACATACATACTAACTAACTCTATTTCCTCAGCCCATCAGTTCCAAACGCCTAGGTACTAACCCCACAACCCATACCTGTCTGCTGACCTGTCCAAGGATTGACAGCTTCCCGACAAGGAATTTTCAGCACTGTCCAGGGGATCCAGCATCTGCAAGGCAAGTCATACAATAAAACTCCAGCCCAGAACCCTGAATCCAGGTGAGTGAGGGCTATAAGGCCTAGCCAGGGCCAGCAAATAATCCTTTTTGTCAAAATATGAAAGGGCCCTTTCTCTGCCTGTGCAGTGAGAAGAATGAGTAGGAAGGTACCATTCTCTCCTAAAGTTCGAAAAGCAAGTATCCAGGAGGGAGAAAAATGCCTGGCTGATATCCCAAGGAGTTCTGCCAAGAGAGCAAAGCTGATGCTGCTTCTCTTGTTGGCATTTTCTTGGCTTATGACTGCTAGAGCCTGGCGCTAGAGATGGTACTACCCTGCAGAAGCTTCCAGTGCATTTGGGTGGGATCATATGCTTCTGTTTACACTCCATAATCTCTAATTTACAAAGACAAGTATTGCTCTCACTTCACAGATGAGCCACTGTAGTTCTAGAAAGTTGAGGAGAATGGTCTAAAGTCATGAAACCAGTTAGAGGGTTGCTAATACAGATAAAAAATTTCCCAGTTCCTGGTTCTTGTTTAGGAACAATAGGTAGCTATATAAGGTAAAATGTTACTCTGGCCCTTAGTCAAATGCATTAACAAAAGGACTTTAGATTAGATTTGTCTCCAACTAATCTCTTCATTTTGTCCATGGGGGAAGTGGTTATCTACTAGCAAGAGTACTCACTATCTGATCCAAAGTTAAACATGACATATACATGACATGTCATGTTTAACTTTGGATCAGATAGGAATGCAGAACATTGGAATTCACTAATAACTTTCATAAAACTAGTTTCCAACTCAAATGATCTCTTCTCATTTAATACTATGGTCCATCTCACCCATAATTTCAAACACGTTAGATCATATTGTCATATATGACATATTTTTTAAAAACTACCAATCAGCCAAAACCGGTTTGGCTCAGTGAATAGAGTGTCGGCCTGCGAACTGAAGGGTCCAGGTTCAATGCCGGTCAAGGACATGTGCCTTGGTTATGGGCGCATCCCCAGTGGGGGGTGTTCAGGAAGCAGCTGATAGATGTTTCTCTCTCATCGATATTTCTAGCTCTCTATCTCTCTCCCTTCCTCTCTGTAAAAACATCAAATATATATATATATATATATACACATACACACACACACACACACACACACACACCAATCAAAACAAATTAATGGCAAAGTAAAATTGCAAATCTTGCTAAGAATGTAGGATTTTCCAAAGTGGATAAAACCAATATGGAAAGAATTGTTTGTAACCCATCAAATGCATATTTGGCTCAGTAGGAGCAGTTAACAGAAGAAGAGAGAATGGGCAAGTATAACAACATGACAAGTTATCAAGAAGCAGTGGATTTTCCAAGGGCCTTCAAGAGAGAATGACCTAGGCATTCCCTAAACACCACTTTTCTTGGTCTCTTTCCAGAAGTCCTCACTAGGAGTCTAATACTCCTATGCCTTGGAGGACCAGGCAGGTAAAAGAAAGCAGTAAAAGGATGAGGGTACAGGACCATGGGGAGGAATGGAGACCAAAAGCAATCAAACTCATTTGCAATCTCTGAGATTTTATACCTAAGTCACCCCTAGAACAGCTGATATTCAGAAGTGCTCTGGTTAGAGAAAACAGGAAGGATGGTCAATAAAATACTCAAGAAGGGAATATGCAGCTAAAAGCACTCTAGGTCACTGTTCTAAACATAAATTTATCTGAGGGCAGAATATAGAAGAAAAAAGAAGACGTGTAAAGAGCCTCTCACAGCTTACATAGTTCAAATAATGTTGTACAGAGATTGGCTACTAAAGCCATTGTGGTGGACCCACCATACAGTGATCCTTCTTCCGTGAATCACAGCCTTGTATAATCCCATCTCCCTGCGTCTGGCAGAACTTAGAACTTGCTTCTAGTCAATAGACTATGGCAGAGAAGATGGGATGTTGGGTGTTTCTATGATTATGTTACATTTTATAGGACTCCATCTTTGCAGACTGGAGCAAGAGACTCTTTCACTTATAAAAGTTCAAAGTAACTAATCCTGCAGTGTAATCTGGATATTACATACTTTCTACCTTTGAAAAAAATTTTTGCTGTTAATCCGCTAATCCTCATCTGAGGATATTTTTTCCATTGCTTTTCAGGGAGTAGAAAAGAGAAGGGGGGGCAAAAGGGGGGGGGGGGAGAGAGAGAGAGAGAGAGAGAGAGAGAGAGAGAGAGAGAGAGAGAGAGAAAGATTCCATGTCCTTGACCCGGAATCAAACCCATGATCTTTCCATGAGCAGACTTAGGCTCTAACCACTTAGTAATACTGGCCAGGGCTATATCCTACCTTTTATCAAAAAACAAGCAAAACTAAAATACAGCTGATGAAAAACAAAATCCAACTCTTAGATTTGGTCATATGTTAAAACTGTGGAAATGAAGGTAGTTATAAGGAATATATAAATAGTAGAGGGGTATTTTGCAAGGACATCAGTGAGAGAACTATAGAAGAGAAGAACTTGGTTAAATGCATATTCAGCACCCAAGAAGGCTAGGTAGTTTAGGTCCCATTTTTGGCACAAATTGATATTTTGCTCCTAGAAAGGCATAATCCATATTTTGTCAGGACTGGTTTATAAAGAGCTATTGGATGGGACTCAAGTCACTTAGTTCTGCACCATGCCCACTAAGAATGCCCCAATTTAAAACTGGTCTGACACATTCGCAGGCGCACCCCAGCCTGTACTTACACATTGCTCGTTGGTCTCTGGAATGAACTCCCCCTCACTGTTGATGCTGGTGTAGGACCCCTGCCGGGCAATGTGCTGCTGCCGTTCAGGCACATAGCCAGGGGGAGGTGAACTTCGTCCAGGGTTCTGGGAGCCTAGATCACAGAAACAAGACCTTTGAGTTCAGCTCCTGAGAGGAGCAGACATCCAGCCAGCTCAGACCAAGCATCTCTTACAGTGGCTGTCAGAGTAAACTTCTTGAGCCAGCTAGCTCCTTCCCCTAATCCAAAAACCCCAGAAACGGAGAAAAAATACTTACAGAAAAGTCAAAGAGTAGTGGAGAGGGTTGCTTTTTGAAAGATAGTCTCTAAGGAGTTTAATTAATTATTTTCAATGTCCTTCAAGAAACACTCCGTTATTCCACATGAAACCAGTCATTAAGAATATATGGCTGATCCAGGTGTAGAGAAGACAATCTAATAAGCTGGCCATCAAGAACACTTCCAGCCGAAACCGGTTTGGCTCAGTGGATAGAGCATTGGCCTGCGGACTGAAAGGTCCCAGGTTCGATTCTGGTCAAGGGCATGTACCTTGGTTGTGGGCACATCCCCAGTAGAGGGGGTGTGGTGTGCAAGAGGCAGCTGATCGATGATCTCTCGCATCGATGTTTCTAACTCTCTATCCCTCTCTGGTCCTCTCTATAAAAATCAATAAAATATATTTTAAAAATAAAAATAAATAAATTACCCAAAGTGCCGCAGTTATTAAAAAAAAGAAAAAAGAACAAAAAAAGAACACTTCCAGTTTCTTGTTGGGAGCATCAGCCCAGCCTCTTTAAGAGCCATGACAATTAGGTTTCTTAGGTGGGAAGGCTAACCTGGGGCTCTTAGTAACCTAGTTTCCTCACCTGACTCCACAGCAGAGACCGGAAACAAAACTGCTCTGAAAACAGACAAATATATTTGCTGGGTTTCCAGTCTCAACAGCTCACTCACAGCAAGAGGCTACCAATTCTGAGGTACCTGAACCATGCCTTCCAAATGACTTCAAATACCTCATGGAGGAAAGAGTCTGTTTGTTCAAAATTTCCAAGCTCTGACTGACACCCTGAGCCTCTAAGTAGAAAGTGACACTGCTCTGAGTATAAACTCAGGGATATTGTGCCATGAAATAACAGAGCAATAAAATTAGCCAAGACATTTTTTTTCTTTTCTTTTTTTACATGTTACCTCTTGTTTAGCCCTCACAATATCCCTGCAGTGGAGGTGCATTATCATGCACACTGTACAGAAGGGGAAGCCCCAGCTTAAAGTCACAGAGTGATTTAATGGTGGGGCTGCAGCTAAAGACAGACTGTGATTTCTAGTGCAGATCAGCCAAGGCAACTCTGAGAACATAATTTATTTCCAAAAGGTAGAAATGCTGCTCAATATAGCGACCAAAGGTAAAACTTCTCCCATGGGGACAATAAGCTCCTCAGGAACAATCCAAACAGAGGACGGGGATCAGCACCATGGGGAAATATGACAGCCTTTCTGCTAGGAGCCAATGTGGGGAAACAGTGCCATATTTCATGCAGCTCAAATTCAGAGCTGTTCTGTCCATGGTCACTTGTAAGTCAAAGGCCAGGGATACAAGATGCCATTTGGCCATCTTAAAGAGGAGGTAAGGGGAATATGGACCAAAAATAAGAAACTTACTCTACTTTTCAGAAGTCCAAATGTCAAAGACCCACATAGCTGGCCTTTTCCCTTGGTACCATAGCACAGAATTCTAGTATTATACAACCATGAAAAAAGGACAGTTTGTTTCTTTTAAAGCCTTACCAAATCCCCAAACATGGAGCACTATTTAATACTTGGCTTACAAACATTAGCCTAGTGCCCGCTTCACACTTCTGGCTTTTGGATAACTTCTGTTATCCAAAATGTATGTAGCCCATGCATTCTATGGAAAGTCAATCCATATATTGGCAACATTTGTCAGCAGCAGAAGCAACCCAGAGCAAGGTATAGTGAGAAAAGCCTAAACTTGGGAATTAGATGAACAGGGATTTAAATCAGGCTTTGCCACCCAGCTGAATAATTTAAACTCTAATCAAAATTTCCTCACTTGAAAAACTACCTACCTCATAAACTTTTTTTTTTTTTTGCAAGTTATAAATATGGTGGACACAGGTAAATCAATATAGAATTCCATTTGTTTTATTTACACTTTGTAGCAGATATAATGTATTAGAGGCCCGGTGTGTGTGTGTGTGTGTGTGTGTGTGTGTGTGTGTGTGTCCGTCCCTCAGCCTGGCCTGTGCCCTCTCGCAGTCTGGAAGCCCTCAGGGGATGTTCGACTGATGGCTTAGGCTCGTTCCCTAGCAGTCAGACATCCTTAGTGCTCGCCAGCTGTGAGCCCGGCTCATGGCTTCTGACTGAGTGATGCTCCCCCTGTGGGAGCACAATGACCATCAGGGGACAGCTCTTGCATTGAGTGTCTGCCCTCTGGTGGTCAGTGCACATCATAGTGACTGTTCATTTGCTGTTCAGTCAATTTGCATATTAGCCTTTAAAAAAAATATATTTTTATTGATTTCAGAGAGGAAAGGAGAGGGAGACAGAAACAACAAAAATGAGAGAGAACCACTGATAAGCTGCCCTCTGCATGCCCCCCACTGGGAGCAAGCCTGCAACCTGGGCATGTGCTCTTGACCAGAATCAAAACTGGGAACCTGAGACCCTTCAGTCCACAGATCGATGCTCTATCCACTGAGCCAAATCAATCAGGGCTTTATTAGGCTTTTATTATATAAAATTATTATACATGCAGAAACCGGTTTGGCTCAGTGGATAAGCGTCGGCCTGCGGACTGAAAGATCCCAGGTTCGATTCCAGTCAAGGGCATGTACCTGGTTGCAGGCACATCCCGGTGTGGGGGGGGGGGGGGGGCCTGCAGGAGGCAGCTGATCAATGTTTCTCTCTCATTGGTGTTTCTAACTCTCTATCCCTCTCTCTTTTCCTCTCTGTAAAAACTCAATAAAATATATATATTTTTTTAAAAAGATTATTATACAGGATTAGGCTCAGGATCCATTCCACCCTTCTAGTAGGCCTTCCTGTGCTTCAAAAGTTAATCACCTAAAAGCTATTATTTCTGAGACCCCCTGTAGGTTCAGCCAATTAGATGTACTTGTGTGAGATTTAGATGGCTTCCTGCTGTTCTTGCTATTTCTGGGTACCATGCTCGGAAGCCTTGGTTTTCCTGCCGCAGCATTAGAAGAGGCCACACACTTGGTCTCGTTTTACAGGTGCAGGCATCCCCATATGTGGTGTGGACCAGAGAAGAGGTGCACTGTACTTCTGGATCTGGTGGCTTCCTGATTATAGAAGAGGGAGGAGCTCTGTGGTTTGTCTGTTTCTCACTATCCCAATGCTCTGGTAAGCCAGAAGTGCAGAGTTTCTTCTTGCTGAAACTAGTTAGATTTCTGTTCTGTGCAACTGAATTCTAGCCAATAAAATCTGGAGTGTCCTAGAACAAACAAACAAAATGTCTATTGTAAGGGACTGATTAGATAGAAAGAAAAACTCTTGCTGAGGAGATTGAAGACTATCCCAGACAAGATAAACTGTCGTCAATCTATGATTTACAGTGTCTAGGGTAAGACCTCCCTGGGATAAAATATCTAGGGCCCCTGACACCCATTCTCTCCTTCATCAGCTGCTAGTAAACTCTTTCCTGGGTTTACAGGTGGGATGGGACTAGCTTACATGAAGCCAGCACTACGGCCCAGGAGGGGTTGGGGGAAAATAGCAAAGGTTTTCTGAGCTTTTATTTCCAGCCAGAGACTTTCACTTTTTCCAATACACATTGCTGCCTGCAGAGAGCCAGCCTTGTTATCTGATGGGCAATGGGCCAGAGGCTATTGTGTACAGGCCCACAGCTTGGGGCAGGAAAGGGAAGTCTCCCCAAACCAATGGCTATCAGAGGAAGCCAATGGAAAAACCAGGAGTTGGCAGAACTGCTCTAGAGCATTTTCAGTTTTGTTTTTATCTTCCATTTCAGAAACTGGGGACCAATGAGATGCACAACAGGACTCAAGAACAAGTGAGACAGGGACTTGACCAGACAGGATCCTGACCTAAGAGAACTCTAAGACTCACCGATGCTCACACATTTACCAGCAGGGACAGCAGTGAGCCAAACAGTACAAATCAGTGCTATGTGAGACACAGGTCATTCTAGGTCTCACAAGGCAAGCACAGCAGGAACGGCAGGGTTCTCTGGGACGCCTTTCTCTGGCTCTAGCCTCATCAGGCCATGGGTACCAAGGGGCTCCATTCTAATAGCAGCTGAAACAAAAGAGTAGAGTAGTAGTCCTGTATTCAGAGTAGCTAACCACTTCCCATGAAGGAGGAAGGCAGGGGGTTAAGCAGTTCGAATTCTTCCCAGGGCATACCAGCCCTCTGCTAGACTCCTTAAGCCAGAACAGCAGTTAAAAACAAAACTCTCATGGTAGGATATGCTGATTCTTCTGCTCTGTACTCTGACTCAAAGCTGAAAGACAGGCTCTCAGATTCTAGCCCTTCTCATAGGAGCCTCCTGGCAGGACGCTGATGCAGTCAGGAAGTTGCCTCCGGAGGGAGTACTAGGGCTTTGGGTCAGTGTTAATGTGCAGGTCATTGCAAGTACAAAGACACGGCTTTTTCTGAACATCAACTATTTTCTCTGAACTCTATTTCCTGTTGGGGGGCTGATCAATTCATCTTTTTTTAAAAAAAAAAAATATATTTTATTGAATTTTTTACAGAGAGGAAGAGAAGGGGATAGAGAGTTAGAAACATCGATGAGAGAGAATCATCTATCAGCTGCCTCTTGCACACCCCCTACTGGGGATATGCCTGCAACCAAGGTACATGCCCTTGACCAGAACCGAACCCGGGACCTTTCAGTCCGCAGGCCGACGCTCTATCCACTGAGCCAAACTGGTTTTGGCCTCAATGGAAAATCTTAACCAGTATTTTCCAATATGCTCATAATGGACCTGGCCTTCTTCATTCCATAAGACCATGAGAAGAGCCTATGTGAGTCAACTTTCAAAACTGACGTTTTATTTTGAAGTTGCTACCACCATTAAACAGTTTCTGGTCTCATCTAGTATCACAGAAGA